TATTTTTGTATTTTTGTTGTTTTATTTGGTGTTTTTAATTGTTTTTGGTTTCGTTTGGTAGTCTCCCTATTAGTCATCGGGGCGGTCTGTGCGTTCTCGAAGATTTTCGCATTTCGAACACGTCGCAAGAATACCGACAATACCCCTCTAGCACCTCAACGAGAGGGCTGCACACATTAGAGGTGGCGTAAATCGGTTTCTCGCGACGTGTTACCCCTATATCTGATAGAAAATTGACGAGTTTTGATGAAAGATTTCTGCTTAAAAGTTGGTGTGTGTGAGTCCCCTAGCTTAGGGTTTTTGAAAAGATAATAAGACGACGAGCAAGTTGACGCACAATGCCTTTGGATAATCCCATTCCTGTCGGAGTGCTGCACACGCAGCCTCGTTTTGCGCGACAGAGCCATACCCCCCGGGCCGACATACAGCCGCCTGAGGAACGGTTTGCAGCAGACGTCTCTGGAGCGTGTCGTTGAATTGGCTCCACACCTGCCGAGAGGGCCAAGCAGCATCACCCGGAATGGCTTTGCAACTGCTGGGCGTTGGGTCGTGTGCTCGCTGGTCTAACCCCGTAGCTGCATAAACGCCGGGCGCCAGCACAAGAAGCAGCTTGGTCGCCAAAGGAAACATTGGGGTTGGGTGTGGTGAATGAACTGGAAACAAGAAAAGAGAGACGGATCCGACACCCCTTGTCTGTGAATGCACGAGAGGGGAGCCTTATCCACCCACTGAGCCTTTTTATGTACAGCCAAGTAGTTGGTTAGAGGACCCCCTTTTTTTCACTCGTATCTTCCTGCAGCTGTGCGAATCTCATTGCCATCATGCCTGCTATTGGCTAAGCGTCGTGTGGAGGCTGATTAGTCGATAGTGGCTGAGAATCCTTTTCTCGGCGATGAGGGAGATTCCGTGTCGGTGTCAATTGCCTTGTTTGGACATGGTTAGAGTTGTTGTACGAAAAGGCAAACAGACTCTAATGCGCAGATTCATCTCTATGTACGTTGCCGTCAGTGATCTGGCCAAGGAAGCTTGCTGGGGTGTAAGCTATCCAGCCTTTATTAGTCTGGATCTTCCGCGCTAGGCGAGAAATTACCTGTTGTATTCATTGCATGACATGCATGTACGAAGATGGCGCGTCGCTGCAATAACCATGTGGATGAGGTGAGTGTCAATAGGGGATGAGGGTAGGACTCTCCCTGAACTGGGAACGTCGCAAAGCGGGAGAAATCAAATTACCGAGTGAACTGCTGCAGACAGCGTAAGTGTGCTACGCATCAGTGCGATTTGCCCTAGTCTGCTTGGATCATAATCTGGTGTTGAAAAGAATAAGATTTTTACGACAGTAATTCCCCAAGTTTAAATTTAAGTCATAGACCCAAGTAAGTTGTGAATATGGAAAGGGCGGTAAGGAGGTAAGAGGTTGCTAGTAGATATTTCAGAGGGGTCGTAGAAAATCTTTCACCTACCTCAGTCTTAAAGTATCATGTATTATGGAACGATACTTGCATTATTGTTCACATCTAAAATATTACCCTGATAAATTTTCCATCAATATATGCTTTGCCATAGGCCCATCCAGCGCCAGAATCCACTACGTTATTAGCAGCTAGCGTGAGTACTTGCTAGTGTCAAGGATACTGCAGGGTTTCAGAAAGAAAGGCGAGAAAACCCCGATTATCCTCTGCGAGACGCGTGTAGATGCAACAACAGATCATGCAAAGCCCCACAAAAACGGCAATACCCGCTCGGAACCTGCGCTCCGTAATCCTGCGCTGACAGTCGGAGCCAACTGCTGTATTGAGAAAAGGAAACGAGAAAGCATGACAAACGAATAAGGCGAGTCGTAAGTTTGGCTGTTCAAAGGAAGACAGATTGGCCAAGTAAGTAAGTAGAGGGAGGACATAAAGAATGTTTTTAGACAAATACTCTATGGATGAGTTCTGTCGGTGTTCTTCGAACAAACGGAAATTTTGTCGTCTCCTGCGCAAACGTCGAAACATGGCGCCAGCAAAAGCTCCAAGCCACGCGAAGAGGCCCGAGGTTGGCTCGCAGTCCATATCGAGCATGTGGACACAAATGTTTCCTCCCAAGCCGACGTACACCGAAGACCAAGTGCCGGATCTGAGTGGCAAGGTATGCAGCAGCGCAGAAGGAGGAGAGTCCTGGCAAGGCAGTAGTGTAAAAAAAAACACGTGATAACGTTCACAACAGGTCTTCATTGTCACGGGGGCCAGCTCAGGCGTGGGCAAAGAGACGGCGAGGATTCTGTATTCCAAGAACGCAAAGGTGTACATGGCTGTGCGGCCTGGGACAAAGGCGTCGGCGGCGGTGGCGGAGATGCAGGGGGCGGCGCCGCAGTCATCGGGTTCGCTTGTTGTTTTGCCGGTAGATCTGGCAGACCTGAGTGCGGTGAAGACGGCAGCAGAGGAGTTTGTCGCGTGTGAAAGCAGTCTCCACGGACTCATCAACAACGCAGCCGTGCAGGCGCTCGACGACACGAACGGCGAGGCTCGCACAGCGCAGGGCCACGAGGTGCACATGGGAGTCAATGTGCTAGCACCCTTTCTGCTTACCCGGCTCCTCAGAGGCGTGCTGGCGGAAACGGCGCGCCGGGAACCGCCCGGTACCGTGCGCATCGTGTGGGTATCGTCCATGGGGACTGAGACGATTGGAGAAAAGGGCCGTGGACTGTCTGCTGACTACGTCGACTACTGGCCGCTCATGTCGCCACTCGAGCGGTATGGACTGAGCAAGGCTGGTAATTGGCTGCACGGGGTCGAGTGTGCTAAGCGGTATGCCGATGACGGCATTTTGAGTTTTCCCATCAACCCCGGCCACTTGAGATCAGATTTGTATCGGCAGGGGGGAATGCTGCTCAAGTTTGCATTGCGGCCTGTGTTGTTTCCGCCCCTATATGGAGCTTACGTTGAGCTATTTGCCGCCTTGTCGCCTGCGTTAAGCATCAAAGATTCGGGGGCCTGGAGTAAGTACCTGCGGCACTTGTGGCTTCGCTGATTGCTGACATTCTCTCTTTCCCACCCATGTAGTTGTTCCGTGGGGTAGGCTGTATCCTATCCGCAGCGATTTACTAAATGCGACCAAAAGTGAAGCGGAGCAAGGCAATGGTCATGCGAAGGCGTTTTGGGAGTGGAGCGAGGAGCAGGTCAAGGCGTTTCTGTAGACGTTTTTTGCACTTATGTGGCTTGTATTCTTCAGTTGCGGCCTATGTGGTGGCCATTTGACCGAGACGACGTTGTTTGGGTGTGCTTGGCGTTAGTGTGCCAGGGCTCGACTCGTCAAGGTAATGCCGAGCAATGGTTTGCGTACTTGATCCTGTTTCAACCCTTTGTGAGCCTGGTAGGCGATAGGGGCTTGTTGAATTTAGTACCATTAGTCAGATTTTCTATCAATTTTGAAAAACAACAAAGTATCATAAGTTAATTCAACCCTCGTCTATGCGCGTCCATATCATACCTACACATTACACTGGTCACGTGGTCAGGAGCCGTCGACGAGCGGAGTAAAGCACAGGTCCAGGTTCCCAATGTGCCACGACATGCAGTCATGAACACGGTCCGGGAAGGAGCCGTGGTCAAAGTCGGGTGCAAAGCTTACGCTGTATCGTGACAGGGTTTCGGCGAGCACAAGGCGCATCTCCATAAGGGCGAGAGGTCGGCCTATACAGCTGTGCGGACCCATGGAAAAGGGCGCATAGCCTGACGCGTCTTTCACAAGGCTGGGATCTGAGTGCCAGCGTTCAGGGCGAAAGCTGGCCGCGTCTACATAGAGGGTTTCGGAGCGGCCGATGGCGTATTGCGAGGAGAAGACGGTCATGTCGCCTGGAATAAAGTTACCAGCTACGGTAATGCCTTCGGGCGGTGTGATGCGCAAGATGGTCGAGGCAGGCGGATGCAGGCGCAACGTCTCGCTGATGACGGCGTTGAGGTAGGGGGCAGCGTCGCGGAGCTGGTGGTCAGCGTAGGCGGCGTTGGCGCGCCGAAGCGGCTGCAGCTCTTTTCGAACATGGAGCACATGCTGGGGGTGCTTGGCGAGGTAGAACAGAGCAAAGGCCAGAGTCGCGGCCACGGTGTCGCTGCCGGCGACGATGATGAAGCGGCAGTCATTGCGAAGGGCGGACAGGTCGCGATGGAGCGGCGGCTGTTGCTCGTAGTGAGCGATCAAGGGCGCTATGAGGCTTGGCCGCTTGGCGCGCTCGACGTCGGCCATCAGCATCAGCCGGTCGAGATGATGGTAGCAAAAGGCCAGGAAGCCCGTCGTGGCCTCGGTGGGCACGAGCGACTGGCCCACGTCGACCAGCAGGCGCATCAGCCATACGGGCAGCCGGCGGCCCATGATGGACAGGCCCTGGACGAGCTGCTCGACGGCGGCGTGCATGGTGGCACTCTGCAGCATGCCAAAGTCGCTCCCCAGGCCCACGTCGCCCATGACATCAAAGGCAAAGGCCTCTGCCAGCCGGGCCGCGTCGACGGGCTCGCCATGGGCGCGGGCCAGACGGGCCAGCAGCTGGTCGACATAGACGGCGACGCGGGTTTCGTATGCGCGGAGTGCCTTGTCGCCAAAGCCTCTGCTCCATAGCCGGCGACGGGCAGCATGGAGGCCGCGGTCGCGCGTGGCAATGCCGCGGTTGGGCTGCTCGAGGTCGTACATGGCCGCCTTTCGACAGCGGCTGCCGGGCGCATGGAGGGCGGCGACGGCCTGGGGATGGGTGAGCATCAGCGTCGAGGATCCGACGCGCACGCAGTCGCCGTAGGTGGCGCTGAGATGGGCGCTGAAACGGTGCATGTCATGGCCGCCGAGCTGCAGGGAGAGCCAGAGGTCGCTGATGCGCGCCGCAAAGGGGCCGGGGAAGCGGTTGAGCGGGTGAAGGAAGACGCGGTATGTCAGGACGCTGGCGTAGAGGCCGGCCAGGAAACTCGCCCACATGGCCAGTGCCCAGCACAGACATGGCGATAATCGCCACTCTTCTTTTGCGCCATATCCTCGCAACACGGCCGCGCCCCCCACGCCCACAACGCCCGTCGCCAGCCATCGCGCCCCGCTGCCATGGTGCTCGCCTCGCCCGAAGTAGCCGACGTGTGCTGCCACGCCTGCCGCCGCCGCCGTCGCCCCGTGTGCCAGCTGCAGCGCCATGGTCGAAAAAGATGGGAGTGATGGACGAGCGAAGCAATCGATGTGCTGCCGACTTGACGCGACTCGACTCTGTTCTGCTCTACTCTACTTATCTCTGCACCGCGTCTCACCCCCCCAAGCGTCTTCGCATCTTCGCTTTCGGTTTCCTAGACCGGCTGGCCATGCTCGACGCCCACGGCGCCTCCCTCGTCGTCCATAAATACCCCCCCACAAACGGTTAGATTGCAACCCACTGCCTTTCACTGCCCACGATGCTCCCCACGCACGGCCAGACTGCCGTCATCCAGTCCAAGACACACGCCACGGCCCCCCGTCTCCCACTCACCGTCGCCCATGGCCGCCCTCTGCCGCCCTTGCCCTCACCGCACCATGTGCGTATACGCGTGCTGGCCGTTGGCCTGAACCCAACCGACCACAAGATGGTGACCCACTTCTTCATGCAGGACAATACTGCCGGGTGCGACTTCTGTGGTATTATCGTCGAGGCCGGACACGAATCGGTGCTAAGTCCAGGTCTCCGGGTTTGTGGCGCTGACTTCCCCTACCGACCCAGCAATCCCTACAATGGCGCCTTTGCGGAATACGCCATAGCCGATGCACGCCATCTGCTGCGCATTCCGGACTCTGTCTCTGACCTCCAGGCCGCTGCCATAGGTGCCATTGGCTGGGGCACCGTTGCCTTGGCCATGTCTGACCCCACGGCCTTGAACCTGCCCGGACTGCCCTCGAAGCCAGATGCACGAAACATCCCCGTCTTGGTCTATGGTGGTGCCACCGCGACGGGCATCATGGCTATCCAGATGCTGAAGCAGTGAGTAGTATGCCTCGTCTACCCTCATGCTCCTTACACTCGCTCCCATCACGGCACTGACGAACCATGCTGACTTTGGGCCCAAACAGATCAGGCTACGCACCTATTGCAGTTTGCTCGCCCCAGTCTGCGTCTTTCTGCATTAGTCTCGGTGCCATTGGCACAGCGTCTTACACCTCACCAACTTGCGCCCAGGACATCAAGGCACTTGCAAAGGGGCAGAATATCAAACATGCCCTTGACTGCATTGCTGACCCCGAGTCGACTGCCACGTGTCTAGCCTCTCTTGCACGTCTCGGCGCCCGCTATGCCTGCCTTGAAGCCGTGCCCGATGCCTGGCTCACTCGCCGATCAGTCGCCGTCAAGGTCGTCATGGGCTTTGAGGGTCAGAATTTCGACGTTGATCTCGGTCATCCAGTCTACTCGCGCAAGGCGAATCCAGCCCTGCACGCTGTCGCTGCCACATGGGCTGCTGAGCTGCAGCCATTGTTGGACGCCGGACACCTCAAGACTCAGCCCCTCGAAGAGATTCAAGGTCGTTTCGAAGGTGTCATCAAAGCATTGGAAATGTTACAAGACGGGCATATCAAGGGTAAAAAAGCTAGTTGTGACTATTTCTCAATAGAACGCTGAATCAAGGGGCATCTCGATCGCTACGCGAACAAGGGACTGCGCAGCCATGTTGAGTGGGAACATTGACAGTGCTTGGCCAAAATAACAAAGCTATACAAGTTCGCTGGCCTGTCACAAGCACACATGCTCATTCTGCCACGCCCTCTTTCGCAACTGGTTTCAGATGCACAAATAGCCCCGGTTTGTCCCACACCAGGTATGCCTTCTGGTTGTCCATCCAACCCTCGCTCTTCTCCGTGCCTTGGATATCAAAGTTCCATAAGAATCGAGCAAGAATGTAACGCATCTCCGCATAGGCCAAGCTGGTCCAACATTAGCATACCTGTCTTTGGCCACCACAACAGGGCAGAAAGGCTCGACCTACTTCATGGCGATACAGGCACGCGGGCCGTAAGAAAAGGGGTGAAATCCTTCGCGACGGTCCTCGTCAAACTCGGCGGGGCGCTGGCCATCAGGTAGCCAGCGCTCAGGATGAAATTCATCTGCATGCTTCCAGTATGCTTCGCTGCGGTACAAGACACGGTGTGGAATCCCGAGAACGGTCTGTATTCGTCACATGGGTCAGCAGTCTAATACGCCTCCTGAGAACAATCACACATCCGAGAGAGAAAAACTCACATTGTCGGGAATGTGCTCGCCGAGGATCGTGTTGCCACCAGCAGGAGTAGTGCGCCACATCGTGTTGGGGCCCGGAGGGTAGTATCTCATCGCTTCTTCGATAAACGCGCCCATGTACGTCAGCTGAGCGACGCTTCGCATGTTGATGTCTTGCTCCTCCGCAAAAACGGTATGCAGTTCTTCGACAAGGCGTTGTTTGACGTCTGGTCTGGTGGTCAGTATGTACGCCATACCCGTGAGGCTGCTGGAAGTCGTCTCTGCGCCTCCACCGGTGAGCAATATGGCGTTTTTGAAAATCTCTTCCTTGGTCATGTACAGAGTGGTGCTCCGCCTTGCTGTCATGATTTCCAGAAAGTCATGGCGCGGTGTTGTTAGCGTCAATCTGCGCTCGACGACTTGGCGTAGGAGAACGACGTGTCGCTTGAAATCGCGATACAACTGGAGCGTCGTCTTGATGGGCAGAAAAAGGTAGAAGAAAGGTATACGCCTGCACAGCAGGATTATGTGCGTGACGTAGATGTTTGCAAAGACAAGTTGCTGCCACGGGTGCAACATGGAGTTTTCCAAACACCCAAACGGCTCACCAAACGACAAGTCACCAATCAGGTCGAACGTGCAGTACGTGAACCATTCGAGCATGTTGACTGTTGATTTCCCTTGGTCACAAAGGCCGTGCAGCTTGCTCAGAAACAAATCGACATGGCCCTGGATCAAAGGCTCTTGCTCGCACATGGCGCTGTAGGTGAAGCCCGGCGCCATGACGCGACGCATGCGACCATGATCGCCCAAGCTGGCGCCTACCATGTCATGAGCATCCGGGCTACAATACCACGTTGGCTTTGGATTCTCTTTGCGTTTGGCCGGCACGTAACGACCATATATGTCTTCCCACGCCTCTGGGGTAGCATAAGACAATTCCTTCGGTGCAATGCGGACGATAGGACCGTAAATGGCGTGCAACTGACGGATTTTGTTATGCCATTTGCCCGACATGTACCAGAATCCGTAAGGAATTGACGACGCAGCAAAGAGTTTGGGTCCAGGGAACTTTTTAAGTGGATGAAAGAATATATTCCTGATGGGACGGAAAATGAATATGTACCCCAAAAGCTTGGCTGGGTGGTTAGACTACCGTTCTCTCTACACATGTTTGAAACTACGTACCAGGGCTGTTGTGATGGATACGGTGCATCGCCAGTTCGCACCAGACACCATCATGGCAACGTTCTGAAAGCTGAGCATGATGTTGACCTTGGAGAGACCCGCCACGCGAATAAGGAGATGTGATACCACAAAGGTGAAGTTTATGTTCACAGAGTTGAGACGAGCTAAACAAGCCCATTTGTTAGTAACACCATCTACAGTACAATAACAAGCCGAAATGGCAGCTCTCCAAATACAGTCAGACCTCGGAGCTAAATGTAAGTAGATCTCGTCTCGTTTCACGATCGCTTGGAATAGATATCATATCCTACATTGCTGACACCCAATCGTGATTGCTGGAATCGGCATGACTTGCTTAAATAAGGAATTGACACCGTATCTCGATCGTGCTTAGCAGAAAGGCAATCGAGCGACTAGACGGGCTGATTCGTATGTATGGCTTGAGACTTTTTAGCTGCTGCTATGCCGCGGTTAGCGCGCTTAGTAGACAAGGGTAGAGCTGCACCCTTCCACGAGGCCAAGTGGTAGTGCGATAGTGTCAGGCTTGGTACCATTTCTGCACAAAACTCGCGATCGGTAGAGATTTTAATCCTACGTACTAATCGGCTGCATTAATGTCACAATAGAGGACTACATATCTAGTATCAGACTCCAATATCACGGCTTCATCGATGTTCTGAGCGCTACAACTCTCTCTCTCTCAACGCCACCACTCTTTAAGCAACTTCAACCTTGCTGTCTTCCACCACTCCATCTTTTCGGCATCAGTTCGGTTTCTTTTTCAAGATACCCCTCATGTCTCCAAAGGCCCCCGCCCACGAGCCCATAGCTATCATTGGTAGTGGCTGCCGATTTGCAGGTGGAGCAAACTCACCTTCTAAGCTGTGGGATCTTCTCCAGAACCCCAAAGACATACGCAGCAACATTACCGACAAGAGGTTTAATGCCAATGGCTTCTATCACCCAGACGGCTCACATCATGGACACATGAATGTTCTGCAGTCATATCTGTTGGAAGAAGACACGCGTGTTTTCGACGCCGAGTTCTTTGGTATCAATCCTGTTGAGGCCAAAGCCATGAATCTACAGCAAAGACTACTCCTAGAAGTCGTTTATGAGTCGATTGAATCAGCGGGACTGAGTCTCGACCGAATGCGAGGAAGTGATACTGCTGTCTTTGCGGGTCTCATGTGCGGCGATTACGAGGCCATGATGCTTCGAGACCTAGACCAGGCGCCGACGCATTTCGCTACAGGCACGTCGCGTGCCGTCATGTCGAATCGCGTGTCGTACTTTTTTGATTGGCGCGGCCCATCCGTCACAATAGACACGGCGTGCTCGTCAAGTCTGGTCGCTGTCCACCAGGCTATCCAGGCACTGCGGTCAGGAGACAGCCACACTGCCGTGTCATGCGGTTCTAATCTCATCTTTGGGCCGGAAATGTATGTCATTGAAAGCAAGCTGAAGATGCTTTCGCCCGACAGTCTCAGCCGCATGTGGGATAAAGATGCGAATGGCTACGCGCGTGGTGAAGGCGTAACTGCCGTCGTCCTCAAAACGCTCAGCCAGGCCCTTGCAGACAATGACAGAATCGAAGCTGTCATCCGTGAGACGGGTGTGAACTCGGATGGAGCCACGCCTGGAATCACAATGCCTAGCGCCAGTGCGCAGCGAGATTTGATACATAGCGTTTACAAGAAGGCTGGTCTTGATCTTACATGTCCAGAGGATCTTCCTCAGGTCATTGAAGCGCACGGCACTTGGACGCCAGCTGGAGGTAATTCATCTCCACGATGCCACATACGTTGAGAGTAAATTGCTGACCCAATCGACTTCTTAGATCCCATTGAAGCCGAAGCTCTCAGCACAGCATTCTTCGGTAACGCAGGGAAGACAAAAACCCCAATCTACACGGGCTCCATTAAAACTGTACTTGGCCATACAGAAGGCTCAGCCGGTATCGCAGGATTGCTGAAAGTTACGCAAGCCATGCAGAACTCTACCATACCGGCAAACCTTTGGTTCCGACAACTCAACCCCAAGTTGGAGCCGTACTACGGCAATCTCCAGATCCCTATCCAGGCTCTCCCGTGGCCGGGAATGTCTAAAGGACGTGGCAAGCGTGCTAGTATCAACAACTTCGGTTTTGGAGGCACCAATGCACATGCCATTGTGGAAAGCTATGAGCCAGAGGAACAAAAGACGATTGAGGAGACACCCGCTGCTGCTTCGGTATCAACACCGTTTGTCTTCTCGGCTGCTTCGGCAGAGTCTCTTCGCTCTAACCTCGCCGCCTACGCGAGCCATCTGGATGCCAATCCCCAGATTAGCGCGCGCGATCTGGCGTACACATTACGTGAACGCAGATCTGTACTTCCTTTCCGCATCGCATTTCCAGACACGACTGTAGAGAGCCTGACGTCCAGCATTGTAGCCCGATTAGCAGAGCCTGGTAGTGAGAGCATTGGCGTACGCACATGGGCGGCGAACAAGGGTGGACGCTCACGGCTCTTGGGGGTTTTCACCGGTCAAGGAGCGCAATACGCTCAAATGGGTGCAGAGCTAGTCATCCAAACTGTTCTTGCCCGACAGATACTTGAGAAGCTCGAGAGTTACCTTTCCGAGCTCCCAGAAGGTGACCGCCCAAGTTGGTCTCTGCAGGCTGAGTTGCTTGCCGACGCGTCCGTGTCTCGGGTTGGAGAAGCGGCCATTTCACAGCCTCTTTGCACAGCAGTGCAAATCATCTTGGTCGATCTCCTGCGGTCGGCTCATGTGCAGTTTGACACTGTCGTTGGCCACTCAAGTGGCGAGATAGCAGCTGCATACGCGGCTGGATACCTCAGCGCACGCGATGCCCTCCTCGTTGCCTACTTCAGAGGGCTTCATTGCAAGCTTGCAGCTAGCCCGAACGGAAATATCAAAGGCTCTATGCTTGCTGCTGGCACGTCAATGGAAGACGCCACGGAGCTGTGCCAAGATGAGGAGTTCCTGGGGCGCGTTAGCGTCGCAGCGAGCAATTCGTCGTCCAGTGTGACGTTGAGTGGCGACGAGGATGCTATTGCTGAGATTGCGGCGGTTCTGGAAGACGAGAACAAGTTCAACCGCCGTCTCAAGGTGGATACGGCCTATCACTCAAGCCACATGTTGCCTTGCTTCGACCCCTATGTCGCTTCGTTGAGACGCGCGGGTGTGAAGGCGCTGCCAGGCAATGGCCAATGTACCTGGATCTCCAGTGTCTACGAGGGCCGCCCTATCGATCCATCTACCGACGAGCTCAGCGACGTCTACTGGGCACAGAACATGACGAAGCCTGTTCTCTTCTCCCAGGCTGTCCAGGCAGCCGTTGGAGCAGCCCAAGGCGCTGAGCCTCCTACTGCAGTGCTAGAAGTTGGCCCGCATGCCGCTCTCGCCGGACCAACCAAGCAAAACATCCAAGAGGTACTTCAGAAAGAAATCCCGCACCATGGAACCCTTGTTCGTGGGGGTAATGCCATGACTGCATTTTCAAGCTGTCTTGGCTTCCTCTGGACTCGTCTTGACACAGCATCAATCGACCTCGGCGCTTGCGAGGCCGCTCTCTCTGGCAACAAGCAGCAGTTTACCGTCTTGGGAAATCTACCCAGTTACCAATGGAAACATGAATCTGCTTACTGGGCTGAATCCAGAAAGTCGCGGCACATGCGCTTGCGTGCTCACTCATTCCACCAGCTTCTTGGAGACGTGTCTCCGGACAGCGCTCCGCATATCATGCGTTGGAAGAACGTGCTCAAGCCAAGAGAGATGGCCTGGCTCGAGGGACATCAGGTGCAGAACCAGGTCGTGCTACCGGCTGCTTCATACGTGTCTACAGCTATCGAGGCCTCGAAATTTCTCGCTGGCGGCAAGAACATCCAGCTCATCGAGCTGAGCAATTTCCACATTCACAACGCCATCACGTTCGACCAGTCCGACGTCGGTATCGAAGTGCATATTGAAATCTCCAACATTTCGGTCCAAGGAAGCCAGGTCCATGCCAACTTCACCTATTCTGCCGCGTTGGGAGACGAGACGAGCGAGCTCGCCCTCGCAGCGAATGGCCAACTCAAGGTTCTCCTGGTCGACGGGACGCCGGACCTTTCACTCTTCCCGCAACGCCAGACACCGCCGCCTCACATGATTCCAGTGCAGCCGAGCCGTTTGTACAATTTCATGAAGGGTCTAGAGTACGACTTCTCAGGCGCGTTCCAGTCGCTGACCAAGCTCGAGCGAAAGCTGGGAAGCGCAACGTGTCTGGCTCAAAAGGCAAAGGCACTGGTCCCGGATGCAGATGAGCTGCTCGTGCATCCTATCGACTTGGATGCCGCATTCCAGTCAGTTATGCTAGCTTACAGCTACCCAGGCGATGACCAGCTACGCCTGTTGCACCTGCCAACCAGTATAGCCAAGCTGCGCGTCAATCCCAGCGTTCTCGCGTCCCAGCAATATACTGCAAGCAGCATGACAGTGATCGATTCCACGTGCACGACAGCGGACCGGGCGGAGCCTGGAGAGGGATTCTCGGGCAGTGTCGATATGTACGCTCCAGGCTTCGACCATGCCGCTGTCCAGGTCGACCAGGTGAAATTCAAGCCTGTTGGCTCGGACGCCAGCAACGACCGCGACGTCTTTTACAAGATGCACTGGGTCCCTAGCGCGCCTGATGGAATGCTCGCTGCGGCCGATGTGCCCATACGCAAACAGGACCACGATCTCATGTTCGTTCTGAGCCGTATTGCCGCGTATTACTTGCGCCAGTTCGACGAGCAGCTTCCCGAGGACGATCCTGCGCGTTCAACAAGCCCGTTGTGTCACTACATGAATTACGCGCGACACATGACGAATCTCCTCAAGACGGGGCAGCACAAATGGGCACATTTGGAGTGGCTGAACGATGCAGAGCAGGATGTATTGGATGACATCGCGGCCAAGGGCTTCATGGACAACTCCGATGTCAAGATCATGTTACTGGTTGGTGCCACGATGCCCCGCGTCTTCAGAGGCGAGACGACCATGCTAGAGCATTTCCGAACCTCGGGTCTGCTTGACGAGTACTACTCCAACGGGTTCGGTACCAAGCAATCCACTCTCTGGGTCGCCAGCATCCTTAAACAACTGACAGACCGCAACCCGCATCTTAACATGCTCGAGATTGGGGCTGGAACTGGCAGCGCAACTAAGACGATTCTCCACTCTGTTGGGCATGACTTTGGCAGCTACACGTTCACCGATATCTCGTCTAGTTTCTTTGAAAACGCTGCTGAGACGTTTGCCGAGTGGCAGGATAGTATGGTCTTTAAGGTATGCAATGCGGAGATCGGTCCTGTTCAGCAAGGCTTCGAGGCTGGCACCTACGACGTCGTCATTGCATTCATGGTTGTTCACGCGTGCGCGAAACTAGACGAGGCGGTCGCCAACCTGCGCAAATTGCTCAAGCCCGGTGGTCTGTTGGTGCTTGGAGAGGGAGCCAGCGATGGCGCCATGCAAGCTGGAGCGGGTTTCATCTTTGGGACGCTGCCAGGCTGGTGGCGCGGTGTGGATGAAGGGCGCACGCTTTCGCCGCTGGTAAATGCATCGCAGTGGGATGCTATTCTCAAGGGCTCGGGCTTTTCGGGCATCGACACCATGTCGCCTCCAACGCTTTTCGACGCTTTTGGTATTACGCTCTTTGTATCCACCGCTGTGGATGATCGCATCCAGTTTGCTCGCGATCCTCTTGCGAATACAAAGGATACCGTGTACGACACCGTCGTTGTCGTTGGAGGGCGCACGCCATCTATCGCTAAGCTCTCTCAGGGCGTCCAGGCGGCATTGGCCCCATTGGCGAAGCAGGTCTTGCCATATACCTCACTAGAAGACCTGGATGAGAAGGTATTTGACGGTGATGCGGTCATTGTCAGTCTTGTAGATCTTGAGGCTCCAGTTTTCAAGGAAATTACATCGGAGAGATGGTACAAGTTCAGGAAGCTGTTTGAGACGAGACGAGAGATTCTGTGGCTTACGAGCGGCCGTCTGGAGGACGATCCATACTGCAATATGACGGTCGGCTTTGGCCGGTCTGCAATGCACGAGGAAGAGACGCTTCGAGTCCAATACGTAGACGTGGCGAATGTTGACGAACTCGACGCTCAAAAGGTGGCACAGTATCTTGTTCGCTTCACCTCGGCTCGTTTGGATGACAAGGAAATTCTTTACACCAAGGAGCCTGAAGTCATCATTGACGCCTCGGGACAAGAGCTGGTTCCGCGTTTGTTCACCATTCAGGACGCCAATAACCGGCTCAACTCCACGACGCGGCCGATTTTCGATCAGGTGGGTATCAGCAAGAACGTCGTCAAGTTGGAGTACGGCAAAGACGGTGCCAACTTCCAACAGCTATCGCGATACGAATTAACAGAGACAACGTCTACCCAGGGTGAACTTACTGAGCTGCGCCTTACCCACTCCACGGCATCTGCAATCAGATGCCCAACTGGCTACCATTACCTCTTTTTATTGGATATGACACTTTCGGGGCTCAGCGTCTCGCTTTGACCAGCTCCCTGGCTTCTGTACTGCGCACTCCACTCGAGTCGACCATCTTGTGCAACCGATCTGGCATGCCAGAAGCTGATTACCTTGAACTGATTGGTGCTGAGCTCAGTGCCCTAGCGATTATGGATTCCCTGCTCATGGGCCAAAAGCTAGTCATGCACAATGCTCCGGATTCTATCATTCGAGCTGTTCTCGCCCACGCCGCATCCAAGGGCGTGCAAGTAACTCTCACAGTGGACTCGCTGGGTACAACCGTGTCGCCAGCCGTCGCCCCGCAGACTCAGGTACCAATGTTCCCCGCACGCTCGGATATCGAGGCTATCCTGCCGTCTGACCTTGTATGCTTTGTCGACTTCTCGGCTTCGAGCCAGGCTGAAAATGTGGCAATGATGACTTCGTGTCTTCCTTCTTATTGCCGGAAGGAGGACCTGAGCACCATCTTCTCGAAACACGGAGTGGATACTGGTGCCCCCAAGGCTATGGTAGGACAGCTTCTGGCAAGGGCTGTCAGCATGGCCAAGGGACGCGACGTATCGACTTCAGCTACACCACTGAGCCTCGAGGCACTTGCTCAAGGAGAGCGCCACACAGACGTTCTGACAACCATTGAATGGACAGGATCGTGCACTACAATTCCTGCACGTGTCACCCGATTCGAATCGAACCAGCTGTTCAAGTCTGACAAGACATATTGGCTCGTCGGGTTATCTGGCGCGCTGGGCATCTCTCTATGCGACTGGATGATTGAGAGAGGCGTGCGCTATCTTGTTCTGACGAGCCGGAATCCAAAGATTGACCCACGCTGGATCGAAGACCACGAACGGAATGGCGTTGTCATCAAGATCTTGTTATGGTATGTTGTTTACCTGCTTCTTCTCACTAAATCACGTTTTGCTAACACATGCAATGCAGTGACGTGACTGATGAAAAAGCCATCAGCAATGTCCATGCGCAGATTGTCTTGACGCTTCCTCCTATTGTTGGGCTCTTGAACGGCGCCATGGTGCTGAGAGACGTGTCGGTGCGCAACATGGAGTTTGACCAAGTCACCGATGTTATCAGGCCAAAGGTGCTTGGCAGTGTCCATCTCGATCGCATCTTTTACAACATTGATCTCGACTTCTTCGTGCTCTTGTCTTCAATCAACTGCGTCATTGGAAACGTCGGGCAGGCCAACTACGCTGCGGCCAACATGGGCATGATTGGTGTTGCAGGCAACCGGCGCAAGCGTGGTCTGCGCTCCTCCGTGGTCAATGTCGGTGCCATTATCGGTGTTGGCTACATTACACAGTCGGATCGCCAGCTCGATGTGACGGTAGCAAAGACGGCTATGATGCATTTGTCCGAGCAAGACTTCCACCAGATCTTTGCCGAGTGCATGGAGGCAGGGCATCTCGACAACCCCAATGGCCCGGAGATATCGACTGGGCTACTCCAGATCACTCCAGACACCATCGACATTCCCCCATGGTACTCGGACCCGAAATTCTCTCGTTTCCGTGTCTACAAGTCTGGCGGTAATGGCGACAAGTCGGAAGCGGCAAACTCGGCATCAACACAGGAGCTCTTGCTCGAGTGCCGCTCGCAGGCCGATGTTATAAATGTGATTAAGCGGGCATATTGCGCGCAGCTGCGCAAGATGCTGCAGATATCCACCGTCGACGACGACCTGATGATGATGCGAGGCATGGATCTTGGCTTTGATTCTTTGCTTTCCGTCGACGTGCGCTCGTGGTTCCTCAAGAACTTCCGCGTTAGTATCCCGGTCCTCAAGATCATGGCGAATGACGTTCGCATGTCCAGTTTGGTCGAGTTGGCTGCCGAAGGCATGCCCGCAGAGCTGGTGCCACAGATTCAGCAAGCCAGTGTCGTCGACACTCGCCCTTTGACACCCGATAACGAGAAGGGCGACCTGTCGACCCAAGGCAGCAACGTTGATACGATGAGCACCCGCGCTACTTCACCCGACCCCCTGCGCGCTGAGACTCCTGACACAGACTCCAAGGCCAGATTTGACAGTTCTCCAACGGTGGACTGGGACTTTGAGACCACGCCGCCTGAGCCCTTTACTCTGGACGGGCTCAGCGATGCTCCTCAACCAAAGGAGAACCCAGAGGTCGTCGTCCTGACTGGCTGCAGTGGTCTTCTCGGCCACCATCTTCTCAACACGCTTGTGGCTCAATCTTCAATCCGCAAGATCATCTGTCTTGCCGTCCGACGCCTCAGCTCGCGCATCGAAAGTGGAGAGATCCCCGCGCCCAACGACCGCATCGTCTACTACGAAGGCGATCTCACGTCTACTTATTTCGACCTCGACGTTGCTACCTGGACTTCTATCTTCCGCGAAGCCGACGCCGTCATACACAACGGCTCAGACACGTCACATTTGAAGTACTACTCTGCACTGAAGCGCGCAAACGTCGACTCAACCAAACAACTCGTCTCTACATGTCTCCAGCGCATGATCCCACTCCACTACGTCTCGTCAGCAGGCGTAGCCCTCTTCGCCGAGCTCGACGCCTTCCCGCCCGTTTCCTGCACGCAGACAGGCAAGACGCCGCCAGTCGACGGCATGCACGGCTACATGTGCGGCAAATGGACGTGCGAGAAGATGCTGGAGCGCGTGCATGCAAAACACGGCTTGCCCATTGTCATCCAGCGGCCCTCGACCATCATCCGCCACGGCCACGACGCTACCGTCGAGCGCGCGGGTTTCGACTGGGTCAACTCGCTGCTGCACTATGCTCACAAGACGCAGGCCGTCCCGCGCGTCGAATACAACGCCGGCGCTTTCGATCTCGTGTCCGTCGAAACTTGCTGCGAGGATATCCTGCGCGAGTTGATGGTCCGCAGCGGGCGACAAGGTATCATGTATGTGAATAACGTGGGCGACGTCGTGATTCCCATGGCGAGCATGGCGGATGTGGGATTGAGTGCCCGAGGCAAAAAGTACAAGGTGTTGCCCATGCACGAGTGGACTGCTGTCGTTGTAAAGGCGGGTATGCATCCTGCTGTTGCGGCGTTGATTGAGACGTTTGATGAGCCGGGGGTGGAAAAGTACCCTGTGCTGCTGAAGTCTGGGGTGTAGTGATTTTGCTGAATAATAGAGCCAGCTGGAATGGTTTGTGTTTTGTGTTGTTATGGCGTTGGGGGGGGGGGGGAATGTAGAGTAGTGTATAGACTTTTTTGAGATATTAATACTAATTTGATTTGATATTCGGTTTCAAGAGCCCTCGTGTCTGGTTTTTTTTTCAATGCAAAGTTGGCTGGACTCAAGGCTGCTTCATTTGCATTCCCGGCTTTTGTAGGATGTTGCATAGCCTCTGACATCTTTTTCCAAAACGTCGCGTAAGATCCAATTGCTCTTCAAACCAGCGAGTTTATTAAGCAAATCTGGGATTGTATATGTCGCTCATCTCGATGTACAGCGTACCCCTTTTCACTGTATTTTTCCTCCGATGCTTCTGCGCGAATTCGATGTCGTTGTCGACTGGATTAGATTGTATTGTTAGCTGATACTTGGAGTGTCCCCTGCGCGATTGAACTTGGGATTGAACTGCTCGTATTGACTCTGGTAAAGTGGCGGTTCTAGACACAGACCTCAGTTGTTGATACATGCCAGCCTTTTGTTAGATGTACATTTGGCTTGAAGATTCATCGGCTGATAAGATTGAAGAAGAAGAATTTTCGTCGACGAGATGGAGTTCTGACAGGATATCTACCTCTCTGTAGGGATACTCTTTGAAAAGATCATATGGACTGGAAACACCGGAATAGAAATAGCCTCAGTGTACTGGGATATTGTATCTGTAAATAAGTCGCCTCCGTTTTCATCGTACTGGTGTAGTGGGGTACCGTCGACGAGGATGTCGACCTTGAGGTTGGGGCAGCGGGAAGAGCAGCCATGGTCGATGCTGAAGTGGGTGTCGTGTAGGCGGATGAAATAATTGATAGTAAGAGATTACGTATCAAGGAACGCTTCAAGGCACCTGAAAATGAATTATGGGCAGGCCAAAGTGAGAGAAGTTACTAGTTGAAGGAAACTAGACTAAATACCGGACAAGGTAAGGTACAAGTCGCGAGAGATGAGTCTACCCTTTCTCGTCAGAAAAGCCGTGGCCAATAATCCACTCTCAAGCATTCCCGACATCGATGGTGAACTCAAATTAGCATACCACCCAGATGTGCTCGAATAGAAGCCTCAGTCTTGGCTATGTGCATGACGCACGTGGAAATGCCTGGCCGCGTACAATACCACCGCAAAAAACCAAAGTCGATCAAAACATCGATGCAAGTAAAGAGCTCGGGAAACTACACACTAAGGAAACTCCATAGAGTAATCTCAATCTTCATGAGCTTCTCATGTGAAGCGTTGGATCAGAATTAGTGGTGACTGAGTGGCCATATGACGGATGGGAGTCGATAGGACTGCTTCAATCAAGCACAATGACTTCTTGATCAACTCGGCGACGCTTGCATGGGCGGGACTCAAGCACAGCCACTTCGTCGTCGATATCGTTGTTTACGAAACGCTCGCTATTGATGTCGGGCTTGGTCGCTGTCTCTTGCTTGACAAGTTTACTCCCAGCTTCTCGCTAATGCTGGTTCAGTAATTGCACAGCGGAACATATGCACATACATACCTGTCTCATGCGTCGCAATAGCTCCCTCAGCTCTTCTTCATTCAGTTCCTCCTCAGGCCTCTCTTCCAAGGGGACTGAAAGGCTCTCGTCAGGCGGAACAATGCGAAGCGCTTTCAAACTCGCTGTTCGTTCGACATCCGCGTCAGTACGTGCAGTGATGGGTGCAACATTGTCACTCACCAAGAGACCGGTATTTGAAGTGGAAGGTCGCGAATGGTTTCTTATCTATCGGGACCCATGTGTATATCTCCCGTCCGACGTGCGCTTTTTGTGGTTTAGATAAACTTTGTATTTGATTAGCTGTGCCAATCAGTGATTTCTCTGTCGATGTGCATACATTGCTTGATGCGATAGTGCAACTCCTTTGAGCGCTTTTTCCGGGATCTCTTTAAATTTTGTGAGTTGAGGTGCCGGCGAGTTTTGCTCAGCGGCTGCCTTTTTCCCGATTTTGATGAACTGCAGCGATATGGTAATGCATCCTTTTTCACTGAGAGAATTTTTCAAAGCTGCAACATTCGGGAGTGGCCCACGAGCTTCTTCCACTGCAAGGATGTGTCAGTAGCCAATGCAAGAAAGCAGTTGTCCTAGTTGTAGTAGTTACCCATATTCAATTCGGCAAAGCAGAATTTCTGCTCGACCCATTGTCCATTTTGCTGCCATTTAGTCCTATCGCCTTTCAACACTAAACCATAGAGGCCGTTCCATGATTGTACCCATCCATTCAAGTATTTCCCGTCAATAACAAGGCACATCTTAACATCATGGTGAGTGGGAAATGGATGCTTGAACTTGGCTGTCACGGCGAACTCAGCACCTGATTGAGCCTCGATGTATTTCGTGACTGTGTTGGGTGCGGAATCCTCATCGCCGTCGTCGTACTCCTGGAGAGGCGAATCATTGACCGTGACTGCAACTTCCAATCCGGGGTAGTTGGTATCGATCGCCATGTTGTCTTCTTGAAGTGTTGATGTAAGTGAAGTTAGTCCGGCTATTTGACAAGCCTAGAAACTCCCAGGGTTGAGCAGCAACTATACAATGGCACTATCGCGTCAATGGCAAAGACGGCAGTAGTCAGGTACCTTTTGTAGTTGTGAGTTGGCTGGTGGGGTTACAAGTGTTGGTGCGATTTGGCAGACAAAACAGCAAGTTGTATCAGAAATGAGAGTGACTGGTGAGAGTCGCGGTGGTGGTAAGCCATACTGCATGCGGTAAAGCGTGGCCGTTGGGCGCGTGTTTGCGGAAGGAGCGATGAATGCCAAGAAGTACCTCTGTCTATGTATGTAGCCTAAACGTGTCTTACCTTGGGCTATACCCTATACGTATAGCGTCCTTCACTCAGGAGTAGGAAAGCACAGCATAGCAGTCGTTATAGTCCAAGTCTGCGCGTGACGTACCCACTGTATACATCCTCTCTCTAAGCCGGCTCCGCCTTCACCATACAGCGTACCAGCCCAATATACAAGTGACAACCACACTGCCCGATTCTCATAACATAATCCCAACCCTACTCTTTATCCAGAACGGGTATAACAGGAAAGATACCGATAGACAGTGCAGGACATTTGGTCGGCGCATCACCATATGCCTGACAGCTGAACCCAGCACCACCGAGAGCACACTATATATCAATCTTGTCAGCATTCTTGCATGCCAACATAGTAACTTATACAGACAGTCTCCTATATACCTTGCCCTCACCACACGGAAATAATGATAGGTATCTGTGCCTCGAGCTACTATACAGTGTACAGCACCACAAACCTATCATCCTCAATTACGAACTGAACTTGCGTGACATTGGATTATGATTATGCATGTAGGTTTCCACTGACACCCGCACAACCACCACCTTTCTTTTATGCAGCTGACATCTTGCAGGAGCGCGGAGATGGGGAGAGTGAAGAGGAACAAGGGTGATTGGATTCATGGGTTTGTGATTAGATTTTACATACAGAATCCTATGTAGTCTCGAGTGTGTGTTCAGCGAGAAATGCAAAGGTATAATGTGCTTTGTGGAGCGGTATGCAGATGAAGTCTGTGGTTTGCTTTGCAAAGAGGCATTTATATTGTGATAGAGGGTGGAGAGAACATCAAGTAGGTAAATGCGGTTGCTCGGCGCTTTGCGAGCGGAGCCTTGGTATGCCTTGATTCCAAGCACAGCATATGAGACGTGGTGGATAGAAGGCTACTGGGTAGTAAGAGCTTATTCAATGTCTTGGTGTGCCATGACTTGGAAATCTCCTCTTCTATCAATCTAGTAGATGGTGCCATGACTATCGCTCTCCAATTACACTTCCGTAATACTGAACTCTGCAGTGTCCCGACACTAGATAAACCTTGCGTTGATCATGGAGATGCAATGAGCCTTTGAGATTGTGCAAAAGTGTGTATGCATGAGCCAGTTGCAACATAGTGGTGGTTGGTGAATCGAGTTCTCATTCTTGCATATTGGTGCTGGGTTGAGTCTGGAATGATCAAGGTAGCCATGGCAGTCCATCATTGCTGCACTGCAACAACCAAAAAAATAGTTTTCATGTAGTGCTGAATGTTATGAGATGTAGTATCACCAGCAAGCAATGCGCTAGACATTCTAGGGTTTGAAAAAGCCATGTGCGAAATACGACATATCCAAAGCCGAGTTTTTGTACACCTCAATCCAACTAATATTCGCTATGACACTTTGAGCCCATTGACACTACAAGCGATACCGAGTGTCATGGACTGTCGTACGTAAGCAGCATCCATGTGCAGGTATCCGATAAATTGCAGAATTCGATGATTTGCAAAATTCGATAAACAGTAATTTCCACAACGTCTGCATTTGGCAATGCCCAGGATGCAATGACGTTGAGGATTCGCCACACTAGGGTATAAACATAGAACATGTACTTGAAAATATGTATAGTCCAGCACCAAGTGACCCCCACAATCCAAGTGGAGAGAGAGAGAGCAAGAGAGCCACAGCGGGACCAGTTCTGTATCCGCTCGTTCCCTGATAAAGATATGCTTCCACAACAGGCACAGGCATAACGCTGTTATTTCCACCAGTCATGCGCTATGACGATGGGTGTCAGGGACCCAGAACACCAAGCCAGCAGCCATGGGGCTTGCAGACCCTGACGCGATGCCGCGCGTAGCGAACTCGGCGAGGTGCATACATGGACTGGACATGGCTGTTTGCAGGCTGCGTAATGCAAGCCTAGGTTTTCTCTTTCTCTTCCATGGTCCTGTCATAGACCCATAGGGCGCACGCAGCTAAACCTCGCATCGAGTCATTAGCTCCACCAAGCTGGGAACAAGCAAGCATTCCAAAAGAAAGAAGAAGAAGAAGAAAAAAAGAGGGTTTTCCCCCGCGCCGCGGAAGGCCGGGTCAGACGTCGTGGTTGCATAGGCGCGCGTCATGTAGCGTTGAGCATGGCAGACTGGGGAGCATGAGTTTGGAGAGCGATTGGAGGAATGCATGGTGGATAGTGTCGGGTACCTGTATTCCGGCGCGACTAACTTTGGGTGTATGTAGGTGTATAGACGAGCAAGCGAGTGTGCTTTGACGCGGGCAGGCCCAAGACGGACTATTCGTCATAGGTGTTTCAAGCGGGTAGGGCCAGTGGAAAAGCAAAAACAACAACAACAACAACAACAACAAACAAGCGTGGATTCATGCATCGGGGGGGATTCCAAGCAGCGTCTATGGACCCTTGGGCGAAGGTCATCCTGTATAGACTGCAGACGATGCGAAACCCTATCTCGCAGGTTGCTCGGCCCATGCGGAACTCAGCCAATGGCGGCGGGGGCCATGACAAGGGCGCTAGCCTGCATGGGGTATAGCGCCGCTCCTCGGAACACGGCAGCCGGCGTCTCTTCGTGTGCCCACACCCACACAGCTACGCCAATACACGAGAACAAAGGGACCCTGCCGAACCTTGGACGATAACATAGAGTTTGCGTAAGACGGACGGCGCGAAACGCAAAAGACAACAAGGCAAAACGAGTTAGGCTTTCGGAAAAAAGTCTTTTTTTTTTCTTGCGCTGATTGCTTGTGTGGGGAAGGAGAGGGGACCGAGCGAGCCGGGCGAGGGGCCCTCGACAAGCCAAACAGACCGTTGCAATCGATAAGTTGACCCCACGGCGATCTTCCCTCGCTCAGCCCTAAATGACGCAACAAACCGCCCAGCAGACGCTGCCATACGTAGGTGTACACGCCTACCCTACATGCTACCCTACATGCTACCCTACATGCTACCCTACCAGCCGACGACGTGTGCTGGGGCCCTGTGACCACAGACGCATCTCGAATCAGCCTGTCGAGCAGCCCCATGCACATCCATGACACGCTCCCCCCCTCTCGTCCTCATTTGTTTCCTATCTCCCCTCACCTCGCCCCGATTCGTTCCATGACACGTCCCCCACTCCCCGTCTGACCCGGGCCCCGATATTATCCCTTGGCGGCGTTGCTCGCCCCGCTGCGACTCGTCTACACACGTACGCATCGAGTGTACGCCTGGATATGGCCGACTACCTTCCCAAACCAGACGCCGTGCATCGGTTGGATGCCGGCGGTCAGCCAATTTGCACGACCGAGACACACACACACACACACACACAGATTGAGAGACAGATGGATGGATGGATATAGCACGACGTGGTGCAGCGGCGCATTATCGTTGCACTTGCACGATAATGACATGAGCTGCGCATGTGGGCCGCTTCGTCGCGATGCCAAGCCGCAAACCCCCATCTTCCCTTGTGCCTTTCTCTCTCTCCATCATCGCCCGCTGCTACTGCTATCAAAGACAACAGCACAGCACAGCATAGTGCCGAGGCATGACATGGCCCTCCCAGGGACCCCCCTTGAACACGACCCTCGCACCTCCTGTTGCCATTGGTCTGCTATATTACTCACCCACCGCACCCGTCAATGCAATGCAATGTACTATTCATCCCTCTCCATTTACTTGTTATTACTCCATACTCTACTTCCTTGCACAGCACAGCACATGGTGCCGTCGATTCATGAGTGATGTGTATACTTGCACTTGGTACTCTATGCGATAGTAATAGTAATAGTAATACTAGTTAATACTAATACTAATAATAATGATAATTACTATAATTAAAAAGATAGTGGTGCGGACATGTTACGTTACGTCCATGAAACGTCTGTCTGTCTGTCTGTCCGTCCCGGGACGGAGTAACAAAGAGAGAGAGAGGGAGGCCCGAGATTTACCTATACACGCGTGTATGTCTTGTCGCTTGATTTTTCTTATCGCCGGAGCTTTTTTGGGGGGGAATTCCGACTCGGGACATGTCGTTACTGTGCTCTACTCTACGCAAATCTACCCTTGACCACCACTGTCTACTCTACTCCACCCTCACTCAATATATCGAAAAATAAAGGGGGGGGGGAGAAGGTGGCTAGGGGATGCAAAGTGGAGATGACACCGAATCCAGTTGTCAGCGATAACTGAAATACTACCCATGTAAATCCATGATGAATTCTGCAAGGGCACTGCAGAAACTTTTTTTCCTTCTTCTTCTCCCTCTCGTTGCGTGCTTTTGCGTGCTTAGCAATTGCTTACTACATACATACGTGCATCCCCCCCCCCAAAGACCTTCTAGAACATCACTTTCTCTTCCTTTCTCATCCGCTCCCCTCCCCTCCCCTCCCCCACCCCCCTTGCTAAGTTTCCTACCACACCCCATGTTTCTGTTTGCTGCCATCTGCACTGCCCATTACTCGGTTTGCGCAGCAGATGGCACAAAGTATCCGAGTAAGTGTGAGTGGGTGTGTAGGTGTAGGGGAAGAGCGCTGGGGTTGTAGAGGGGGGGAGTCTGGAGCGTCTAGATGGTCTGGATTTTCAGAGTTTTTTTTCTTCTAGATTAAGGGTGTAGTGTAGGAGTACATGGTCTAGATGTGTGTCGGATGTGTGTGTGTGTGTGTGTGGTAGATGGATGGATGGATGGATGGATGCGCAGTGTGGAAAATACATGTTGCAAGTGTAAATGGGCTATGCTACCATTATTGCCGCGGAAATGGAAGCACCCCGCTAATCTGCATCTGCGCACACCACACCAACTTTCAGCACAACACAGTCACAGAAATATGCTCAAGTCTAGATGCTCTTTTTCCCTCTCTCCCTCTCTCACACTCACACTCACACTCGACGTAAACAGACAGACCTTTCAGCTCACATCATCCATCTACCCGACGATTAGCTCAAAAAAACTAAAAAAAAAAAAAACTCAGCTTGTTGTTCTTGTTGAGTCCAAGCCCAACGAATCAGATACATGTATTCAGAATCTAGGCCCTTTTGGATTCTTTCTTTCTTTCTCTAGACTCCTTGCGTGCCGCACGACACATACCACACACACACACACACACTCACACTCACACATGCACACATGCACATGGGTGCGTGTAGTGGTAGTGGTAGTGTAGTGCATACCAAACAGTCTAGGTCTACATCTAGTCCAGCCCTTCTCCTTTTAGCCCACCACCTACTCTCGCATTTCTGAATTTGCATTTCCAATTCCCATTAGGTCTGCTTTTTTCTTTTTCTTTTTTCGCTTGTGTTTTTGGCTTTTCGACGTGCCAACCCACGTCTGCGCCCACGGCTGCGCCCCCCCCCCCCTAAAGCCACGGCCATGGCGACGGGTTCCCTACCACTACCCACTACCACGACCCTACTTTACCATGAGTGACCGTGCGTGCCGCCATTACCTATAGTATGTGTGTGTGTGTGTGTGTCGGTGCATTATCCGACGTGGGAAACCCAAACCAAAAACAAAGCAAACAGATTATCATCTACGTACAGGTGGTCACTTGTGCTTGTGCTTGGCGCGGTCCCACGTTTTACGTAGGGGGGGAAGAGTTGTTTTCAGCTTTGAGCGGGCCTACTTGGCTAAGGCGCTATTTACTGTACTTGCTTGTATAGCATGCCTAGTCCATAGTGTTGAGACAAATTATCGATTCATACATTTGTTCATGTCGGGTGGGTTGCCGGCGTCGCCGATGGTATGGGCGCACAAGACAAGTTTTTTTTAGGGTAGATGTGTGTGTGAGAAAGAGTGTGAGCATGAGTGGCACAAGTGACACAAGCAAGTCGATTCTTCAGCACGCTACTAAACCAGTATTTCTTGATTCCAAAACTATCTGCGGGGTATCTTTCTCTGCTAGCTTTCATCTGCCTATACTACAGCTGTTTCTTCTTTCGGGGAGCCAGTCATGGTACAAGTGCTTCGCAAGCTCGGAAACAATTTGTAAAAAGAGAAAAAGAAAAAGAAAAAGGTGTTGTACATGGTATTAGCAACTGCTCGCAGCTGTGAATCAAAGGGGGGGGACAGCAAAATCTAATCCCAGATTCGACAAATCAAATCAAATCGAACGCCGTCTACCAACTTGTCCGTTGTTTTTTTGTTCGCGTCATGTACAAGCATCTTTTTCATCGTATCATCGTGCCATGCGCCTGCTCGCTCGTTGGCTGGTCGCTGCAAAGGTCATGCCCGTAACGTTGGAAGCAAGGAAGAAAAAAACAAGAAGCGACCAAGGAAATAGTGTACAGTCGAAGCAAACGAGAAAAGAAAAAAGCACCCGATGCATCAGTTGCGGCCAGCGACAACTGAATGGGCGAGCGGCCGGGTGGCCGGGAAGCGCAAAATAGACGGCGTGTGCTCGGTTCACTTGCTTTTTGGGCGGCCCAGCGACGCATGCAGCAATGGACCAATCTCGACGGCCGGCACGGGCAGAGAGAAGATTCTGTGCGTCACGTTGACCGGTGGGATGGGCGAGCGGGCATGCAATCGAACGGTCCCGGCTGTTCTGGAGTGTGCAGGCCAGAGGCGCTGCAAGGGCACCGTCTCCGCGGGGGTTCGGTCGGCTCCGCGCCCCTCTGGTCGCAGCGCAGCGTAGCGCAGCGTAGCCCTCAGTCATGGTTGCCGCCGCGCCTGCGATGCTTGCCGGGAAAGTCGACCTCGGGATGCACGACGCGCATATGGCGCGTCAGCGCATCGTTGCGTGAGAACGTCTTCTCCTCGACGCACAGGGCACAGCGCACTTTTTGCTTGCGGGCGTTGTGGATCGTGTCCTCGTGGCGTGTCAGGTCGTAGGGACGCGAAAAGACCGTGTTGCACGGCTTGCCCGTCGTTGGGTTGATGCGCTCACACTTGTGGGGGCCCGCCTGCGAGTTGCGTTCCAGAATAGCCGCTGACGTCATGGCGCTGCTCAGATTGGCGCTGCGATGGCCCTCGCGCTTGTGCTTTTGCAGCTTCTGCGGAGTCTCGAATCGCTGCGAGCAGCCATGATACGTGCATGAGTATGTCCCCGACTCGGCCGCCGTCGACGCGGGCTTGCCCATGTACCGATCCGACAGCACGCTGTTTTGGCTGCCGCTCGGCGGCTCCGCTTCGCTTGCGCTCGAATCCATCGATGTCAGGTGAGCCGGGAATTCGGGTGTCTGCTCCATCGCCGACGACATGGCGCTGGCTGTCGTGCGGTACTGCGACGTTGGATTGAGCGCAAGGCCCTGCATGTTGCCTTGCAGCGACGGCGTGGCAAAGTTGAAGGCCCCTGAAGGCTGCAGCGACGACGCAGTCGACGTCGAAAAGTTGGGCGAAAACTGCGAAGTGTTCCAGCTGTCGCGGCGATAGGCCTGCGACGACGGCGTGCCAAAGCTCGACTGCGCCGCGCTCCTGTACTGGCCGTCGTAGTCGCTGGCGCCGTTGTCCGGGAACAGTGGCACCTTGGACTCTTCGTCCGCCTCCCGGTAGTCGAGGAGAGCGTCCTTGGGCGAGATGGTCTTGGGCTCAGCGTCCTCGCCCGCCGCCATCTGCGACTTCATGGCGTACGCCGCGTCAGCCTGGCGGTTCTGCTCACGCGCCGCCATCGCCGTGGCCATGGGCGAGGCGAATGTGTGACTGGGCTGGCGGTAGGGCGAGCCACGACGGAACGGTGAGTCACTTCGCGAGGCAGTGCTGCTTGGCGACTGCGAGCGTGCAAACTGTGCGGCTTGCAGTGCACGCTGCACATTCTCGTTGGTGTTGCTGCGGTAGGGCGACAGCAGCGATGGCTGTGCCGGCTTCGACTGCGGCACTGAGGTGCTGGCGGCGCTGGGCTCGTAGAAGCCCGTGTCGGCAGCAATGTCGGTATATGTCCTCTCAAACTTGGGAACAGGGCGCATGTCTGCGTCGTTGTAAGTACAGAACTCGTCGAAGAGCCAGGCGTCTATCCGGCTGAGTGGCTCACCATTTGCGGGCATCTTGAGCTCCGCGTCTTCTTGCGCCGTGTGTGGCGTGGCGGGAGAGTCGTGGCCGTAGCTGGACACGGACTGGCCTGCAGAGTGGGCAAAGTCGGGCACGTCGTCGCCGCTCTGGTCCATGAGCGCTTGCTTCATCGACATGTGCGCCGACATGGTGTGGTCCATGTTGACCGTGTTGTGCGAGTAGCTGTTGAAGTTGCTGCCGGCCATGAAGGAGTCCTGGGTTGGTGTATGTGTGGGTGTTGGTAGATGGTTCTGGAACGGCCTTGAATATCTGTCAGCGTCATGCATCGAGTCGCCCGACGCACCCGACGGCGAGAGCGAGGGCGAGAGCGAGAGCGCAGGCTCGGAGCGAGCGACGTACTGGTAGGCGGCCGAGGGGTTGACCGGCTGGTACTGCGAGGCACTGGAGCCTATTGAGGATGCCGACGATGCGCGCTGGTGGCCGCGGTTCTGGCGCTGCGAGGGAGTGTGGAGCGACTGGGCCTGCAGGCTACCATAGCCGTTCCACGACTCGAGGCCGGTGCTGGCGTTGGTGGCAGACAGCATCGACGGCTGCGCAAAGGGCTGCGAGGGCTGCGGCGTGGGCGTCGACTGCTGGATGCGGATGGCCGGGTTCGCAAAGCTGGCCGTGTATGCGCCCGTCATGTACGAGGCTGGCACAGGGTCGAAGCAGGCGGTGGCGTACGACTGCTGCTGCGACTCGAGGTAGTCGTTGAGGAGCTTGGTGTCGAAGAGGGGCGTGGCGGCGAGGGGTTGCTGGGCGGCCTGTTGATGGGCGTGGGCGTGGGCGTAGGCGTAGGGTGGTGACGGTATGGTTGGCAGATGCTGACGTCGTGTGGGCAGCGCTAACATGTTGCTGGGTCAAGGGAAAATGTCAAGGGACCAGCGCGGGTGGCAAGTTGCTTTATACTAGTGGGGAGGGGGGAGGGAGGGCTCGCCGATGGGGGTGAAGGACGACTTGATGAGGTGATCTAGGGGTAGAAGAGGGTGGAAAGCAGTGGTGCTGGTGCCGCAGCGTCTGGGCCGGCAGTGCTCGGAATTCCGGAATTAAGAGATTTCACACGAGGGCGCCGGTGCTTGTTAATTGCTGAGCGATAATCTGCTCCGCTTGGGAATGGTGAGGTGCGCGCGGAGACGCTTTCCTTTCATACCCAATCCTATGACGCAACTATCGACGAGGGCGTGCAGGGGGGCGCTGGCGCTAGCCGACGCCGACATGCACTGGGCGGCGCGATCGACAGCACCCCCCCCCCTCCCCCCTCCCTGCATACCACGGCCGGGGCCCTGTCTGGCCGAAAGGCTGTGCAAACGCCGGACGCGGTCCCTCGATGCCCCCCCCCCCAGCCAATTCGACTTTTTGCGCAGCGGAGTGGGCTCGGGTAGCAGCCGACGCGGCCCTGCTCAACGCCTGTGCCTGCGCCTGTGCCTGTGCCCTGCGAGCCGCGCCCAAAATACCGAGCAATCGCCTGTATGCTTCCGGCCCACTCGCGCTCACACGCCCCCGCCCGCCATTGGCCCAGCGGCTGTGGCTCGCTCTCGCCTACACCTACCTATACTTACGCCTGCCTCGATGCCCGGTATACGCGACGCCCATGGTATACCCGACACCCGACGCCGACGGCATTGGCTTGGCCAGCCGCTGTCTACGCCTACATTACACTACACGGCCGCACACGCTCCAGCCTCGCCCTGCTCTCCATGGGCCGCGGTCACACGCATGGTTGCGTGACTCACAGCCCACGATTCCATGGTAGTGTGGGAGCCGAGTTGTCATGGTCATGTCGCGCTCAGCTCACGGCCTGCTAGGGCCGCGCAGACCCAGACGCCGCAAAGACCACGTGGTCGCATGTGCAGAGACACATCCACATCCGTCAATAGCCCTACCCCATATTTTGCCTCCATGTACTACGCGACACTACTATTGATAGCTGGGCCTGCTGGCCAAACGGCTCCCGCACCACGCAGCTGGCAACTGAGATGCGCATCATCTAGCAGATGCGGCGCTGAAACTCGACGGCGCCCGCCAGCCAATGACGCGAGCCGCACGCATGCTAGTTGCCAAATGGCTGCAAGATCAGCTCCGCACGTCGTCCAATCTGCAGGTGCAGCATGTCGTCCAGCGTCGGCACGCGCAATGCTATCCCTGGTGGGCGAGCGGGATCGCCGGCGCCACCAGGCAGCACACGACACAGGGAAGACTCTGAGCTACCAGTTTCCCTGGACCATGTGCGCTGAAAGGCAGTGTCTGCAGGGTGCTGCAAGCAATCCATGGTGTTGCATAGCAACAGTACTGTAGGCAGCCCTTAGCCGACGTGGCATCGCATGGACGGACCAGAACGGACAAGACCGATTGGGATATGCAGGGTCCATTGTCTTTTCCATGTGGCAGTGCAGCCCTATCGTATGCACGGACGCTGCCACACTGCTGCACTCCCGGCTTCTCCGAGCTTCTGGGCCGTCGATTCGCCCGTCCAGCCCACTAGCCACATCTCCAGCCCGCTGCACGGCCACCCGCGGCACGATGCACTGCTGGCTGCTGGCTGCTGGCACCAGCACCATGCCTCGGAGCCCGTGAACCGGATACACGTGAGTGCCCAGGGCCCTACCACCATCCGTGTCCTACCGTATCCTGCCGTATTCTACACCACGCCTACACTCGTACACATGCACGGGATGGGGAGACAAGCATGCCATTGTCCAGTGCCAGTAGCCCCAACTCGCTGCTGCCTCCGTCGCATTGCATGAGCGTTAGTCGCTCGCTTAGACCAGCCATGACATCATCTCCGAGGCATGGTCCCCGTTTGCATTTGCGTCCAAAGAAAAGCGCTTCCCCTCCTGCAACGGAGCCTACGCACACAGACGAGTGCCGCACAGTTGTTTTGCGCCGTCGCTGCTTTTGGCCGCTCTCGCCTGCTGCTCGGTGCTTTTGCCAAAGCCACCCTTTGCTTCGCGGGCCATAAATTCTCCCCGACAGCGCGCGCCGTGGCTGCCCAAGCGCACATCAAAGGGTGCACACGACTTGCCCACGGGCTGGGAAACGCAGTCATAGATCGCCAACGGTTACGCGGGCGCCATCATCCTTAGCTCATCAGCCCGCCAATCCGCGGGTGTGGGATGATGAGACCCTGCATCAACTTGGTTTTGTCCAAGTTTCTGCCGCTCCACCTGCTCTGTTCAGTGGCTCGTCCGCCGATCATGACGCCGCATCGCGTGTTTCTGCCTCACTTCTGCTTGTACCGTCGACCCAGGCTGCTGCCGCGACATATTGCATGGACAGATCAAGACTGCAGCCATTGTCCACACAACCCTGATGTTTCTTTTTCTACTCCAAACAGCTAACCGTCCACCACTCAATCATGTCGTCGCGCCGGTCAAATTTTTTCCACGCCATGGGCCGGGGGTAGCGTCCACCCGGACTTTTGCCAGCCAATGCTGTGCGACTGGCGCTCCGGGGATAACTTCACAAATGCAACACTGCCTGCTGCGTCCACGTCTGCAACCCAAGCCCTTTTGGCTCACCATGGCATTCCGCAATGCCGCCGCAACGTCATCCGCCCTCGGTGCATCCCGCCAGCGCTCGATACCAAGACCGTCGATTTCTTTTTGCAGCAACAGGCCCAGCTCACTTGAGTGCATTGTGCGACACAAGGCTCGATGCGCGGGACCTTTCTCCGCACCACCCCCCAACCACAAATTACAACCACCATGGCTGCCCGTCGAGTAGTGTAATCCTGTCAGCCCGCCGATTTTGTTTCGCTCGGTTTTCGGCTCTCAACACATTACAAAGCTTGCTGGAGTCGTTGCTCCGTTTTGGCTGCGCCGGCCACACCACTTGGGCCGTATTCCTGGCGAAGTGGTGCCGAAGCGCAACGTGCCAAGCCTCTGAGCTCCACGTTAACTCCGAGCGGCAGCAGCCAGGCGTCATGCAGCAGCGCCAACGCTGACAATACGATACATCCAGTCTGACAAAAGCCCGTCGGCTTCATGCCTTGAAACGCCGCGTCTGACGCTGCTGCAATGCAACGAATACACACGCCCACTACGCAGTCAGCTTGGCCTGGACAAGGTTCAGTGAACTCTAACCACACAACTCCCCGCTCGGCCACATGCTATCGACCGAGAGTTGCAAGGTTGCCAGGATATTTGCAGCACACACACTGCTCACCTCAACGAGCCAACCGTCCGTCCCAACAATGGACACGCTTCCGAAGGCGGTGCACGTGCGTTGTATCTATCCTTTTGCCCGCTGTTCCTGTTCTCTTTGAGATCTTGCCTCCTCGCTAATCTTTGATCAATAGTTCGGGCGCTCCACACATGTAGTCAGCATGTCAGGTTGCCTGGCCAAGTCGAAGCCCTTCCCTTCCGAGACTTCGCCCCCAGTGTCCGACATTACGGCAGACAGGGCGGCCCTCCCCCAGCATGCAAGGGGCAACGCGTGCTTCCATACAACTAACTCGTCCCTACCTGGTCAAACACGACTTGGGCTTGATCTTTTCTACACTGATGACGTGCTCACTCTTGGCTAGGGTGTGTGCTGTCTCAGTATCAATGGCGGCACATGCCGCGGGGTTTTTGTGCTTGCACAATAGATGAGATGGACAGATAGCATGGGTCTACGTACATGCAAGTTTAAACCAGTCTCCATCTTATCTCTGCTGAGATTGCGCATGACTCTTAGAATACGAGCATAGAGCGAGCGACTGACTAGTCTATTTTTCTTTTCTCCTCAACACAGAAAGTTACCTCGGCTTCTTCACACACGCACACAATCTCGAAATAGAAAAACAGCAAGGTTGTCGGATACCACTTTGATAAGAACCTTTTTCTTCAGCCACAACACGTGGTACGATCTGACTCCCCAACAAACACGAACAAGAAAAAGAAATACCCTTTTTATAGACTGCTCGGTTAGGTGTATACGACTTGTGTACACCTATTAGCTGCTAGCAGACTAATGTCTCTCGTAACATGCAGACTCTGTTAGATCCCGCAGTGGGCTTGGCCAGCTATCGGTATCTTCGGCTTCCACACACACACACACACTGACACACTAACACTGACTCGTGCGAAACCCACACACACTCAAATCCCCGGTTCCGAATCATATTTAGTACTTTGCCGTTACAGCAACATCGTATTTACGGAAGAGGCTATTTGAGGCTAAATGATTAGGCCCCCCCATCCGTTTCTCTTCGGATACAGCCGTTTTCCGCTAGGGTAGTGGTAGTGGTGGTGGTTGGCCCTGCCAATCATACGCAGGAATTGGGGGAGGGGGAAAGAACACGTTTATTCTTTGACTCGGTGTGCATTCGTATCTGAATGGCGAGTTTTGACAAGGTATAAGACACACATAGATGCATAGAGAGAGAGAGACTGTGAGCGAGAGACAGAGCTTCAACCCACCCACGCAATCAAGACAAGTGCAGAAATAAAGAAAGAAAAATTAATCTTGTATACGCATCTCACACAGCGCTTTTTCGCAATGCAAATATGCAAATGAGAAGATGCAAAGAATAGCAAACCATACACACATACATAGTCTCGACATAAAAAAAACCCCCCACTCCGCTTAGTCTGGTATTGGCAAGTAGCAAGATGTGATTGAATATATCCCCCAACTCACTGCTTCCCATGTACACGCCCTCTCTCCCCCGTGCAAACGAGTACCAAGCAGTCTGCCTGTCTTGATATAACGTGTCAAGACTTTAACGATAACTTTACGCCTACTTGCATATACATCTTCCATCACCGTCAGTCACAACACCAGTCCGAGTCACAGCTCGAGTTCTTTTCTCACAAGACAATCAAATCCACTATGCACTATCATCCGCTCGTTTTGGAAGTATGCATAACCATAACCATAGCCATAGCCATTTTCATCCATGTCCAGCATGTAAACATGTACGCTATCTATCTCCACCCAAGATAAATTTCTTCCAACTTGACTAGCATTTACTACATAACCTAGTATTGGTATTGGAGAAAAGGAGAGAGAAAAAAAATAATGGGAATAAGTAAGACAGCTAGCTAGACTCTCAATGTTGAGATACAAACAACGCATTTTTGGAGCGAGTGTGGTTTGGAACAAGGAGTAGTGCTCCAACATCAAACGTACTGTACTGTAGATATGCGGGATCGGAAAAAAACTCTGCGTATCGTCAGGTGTATGTGTGGATTGTAGAGTATTATTCGCTCTAGGTGGGGGGACGACAGGGAGGAAGGGTACTCGGTTCTTTGAAGCGTGCGAGTTTTTTTGTGTATACAAGTTGTGTTTTAAGACTGTAGTAGAGCGGATTACGAGTATTCGCTTGATATGATGATGAGGACAGGAAGCTTTCAATTTCGTGGGCAGTGGCTGCATTCGTTATGAGAAATATCTAAACCTTTCTACGAACCTGCAAATCGTGTCAGTGAAAGAGAGTGCAAGGATGCACTCCATGTCTCCCCCGGCGAATTGCCAGTGAATAGACTTCTGGCGCTAAATCAATTGGTCACGTCGAATACACACTGACATACATGTACATCACATGCATTTCAAGGTATTGCTCCATTTCTCGAGTCTACCACTCGGGTCCCTGCATAAAACAGTAGTCTGCTTCTCACATCAAAGACGGTGAAAAGCTACAACATCGGTCTAGGATATGACACCCCCACACTTTGTTCAAATATCCAACGCTAACCCCAACAATCCCGTGTTCAACGCCGTGTCCTGCCGTACAATACAATAACGCTACCGACCCGGTATCGCATGAGTTTTGCCTTGCCTGCCTTGCCTGCCTTGCCTGCCTCGTCCGCTTCGTCCGCCTCGCCCTACTGCTGCGCGCATACAACACCGCGCCTTGTGGAAGATTCTAAGTAAGCTTCTGCTTGATGAAGAAGGAGCGCAGATGCGACAATTGCCAGACGCAGGTAACGGCGAGAATAACAAGCTGGATCAGTGACCAGCGAACGACGCGGGAATTTGTATGTTCCGACTGGTCACGGAATTCGGCCTCGCGCTCCTGTATTTGTGTTAGTCTGCCATAACATATGCAGCCTGCACCAACAGACTCTCCGGTGGAGAAATGGGTATTGGGCAACGTACTCTCTGGAAGACCTGTTCTCTCCTGACATCGTGCAGTCGCGCGTTCAAGTCCTTGACCTTCTGCACCAGCGTCTCGACCTTCTCCTTGTCTGCGCTCTCAATCTTGCTCGTCTCTCCAATCGCCATGTCCAGGGTAAACCTGACATTGCCAGCTTTACCAGTGCTCAGCCAGCCGATTCCACCGGGGACATTCTGAGGGGCAATGCAGATCCTGTGCTGTCCGCTGTCGGCAGCGCTAAATGTAAAGCGGCCTTGGGCAGCGCCTCTTTGCGCAACGATGCGGTGGTTGTCGTCGAATGTCTCCTCGACGGTGACAAAGACGCCAACATCGGGCTTGTCGTGATAGTCTTTGGCCTGATCGTCCCAGACCTCGGCGTGGTAATGGCCTGGTATCGTCAGTCACGGATGCTTTTACTCGTTTGCTGGCCCGACAGCATGGAAAGACCAGGGAAGGCAGATATGCCATACCAACAACCAGGGTGTCCTTGGGCAATTCCTCGTAGAAGCACTTGAGCGAGGCGCCATTCATGTAGAAGTAGAGCGCCTGTGTCGGGAGCGCCAGCGCAGCGGCGAGTAGTACGGATGGCTTCCACATGTTGGGCGGTCAAGAGGTCCCCCGCAAAGGATTGGTTGTCGCGCGGAATCGAGTGTTGGTGAGCTGTGCACTTGGGAGTCCCGAAGCTCGAGTGTCGAGTTCCAGAAACTCCAGGTGTACGTTCCGAAAGCGGTTAGGCCCCCGACACGTGCGCCGCTCCTTCTTTGGCGCGTTGCACTCTGAGGGTCGCTGACTCTCCTCAGCTTGTCAACCCCAACATCAGAACATCAGAACGCCCATCATGTGCATCCTTTACCACTCTGCCTTATATGCAATTCTCAACAACGAATAATAAAGCAAAGGAACAAGCTGTCAGAAAAATCTTCCTCCCGCACACATTTCAATGGATGGGTCGTTGGAAGTCTTCGGCTCAGGATGAGAGGTTTAAAAAGCATTAAGCACTGGAGAACTACGCATCACAATCCTCACTCTCACCATTATCTCTGTCCAAATTAACTGTGTCAGAGGCCTAGAAGTCGCGGCGGTATACTTGATACCAATACTACCGAATCTCGGCAACAACCCCGCAACCGCGGCTTGTTACCTAGGTAAAACCATCAGTCAGGTTAAGGCTTACAACAGCCGAGTAAACACATAAATGTGTGACCTCTCCACCGCCTACTCTTCGTATCTTCCGCATATCGCATTCTTTCATTGACACTGCACTATTCCGCATGTCCACATACATCCACACACAACAATACAAGATATCCTTCATCATGGCGTCGCTATTCGAGCCCTCCATATCCGCTCTCACAACTCTCAAATCAACACCTAAAACTATCCTCATCACAGGCGGCTCCTCAGGAATCGGCCTTGCGACTGCCACTCTCATCTCTACCATCAACCCCCAACACAGCCTCATTCTCCTAGACCTACAGCCGCCCCCTGCATCATTCAAGCACTCTCCCGCGCGCCTCCTCTTCCACAAGTGTGACATTACGTCTTGGACTTCGCAGCGCGCAGGCTTCGCAGCCGGATATGCCAAGTTCGGACGTATAGATGCCGTCTTTGTCAATGCAGGCATCACAGAGCACGGTGACCAATTCTTCACCGACACGCTCGACGCGTCAGGTGAACTCGCCGAGCCCGATCGCCGTGTTCTCAAAGTCGACATGGACGCTGCATCAGACACGACAAAACTCGCTATACATTATCTACGCAAGAACGGCAACGACGGTGGTGCTATAGTCCTAACAACTAGTTTCGCTGGGTACCTTGCCTCGGCCGGTGCACCGCTATACTCGGCCGCCAAACACGGCATCGTAGGCCTGATGCGCGCACTTAAGCAGGAATGCGCAAAAGTCTCTATTTCCATTTCCGTGGTCGCGCCCGCCATTACTGTCACCCCGATCCTTTTAGCTAATAACCCGTTCATCGGTGCCACCTCGCCGGATACATATGCGGCGGATATGGAAAAAGCGGGTGTCCCGATTAACAAGCCCGAGTCAATTGCGCTAGCCGTGTGCTGGTTGCTGAATGAGGGACAAAAGGCAAACGGCGCGGGTATCTTTGTGCAAGCAAACAAGTTCTGGGACTTGGAGAGGGGTCTGGCTAAGAGCAGAGAGGCGTGGATGGGCAAGGAAATGTTGGCATTGTTCAGGGGAGGCAGAAGTGCGCCAATGTTTGCGAGGTTGGAGGCAGAGGGTGGACAGACAAAGTCAAAGATTTGATGAATGTTTTATTTACAGTATTTCGATGCGGAAGCAGACTACACAATATAGAGTATAGAATTATCTGACTGACTACTTATTTATCCTGAGTGATTTCGATACCGACGCAGTGAATCCACCTCGCAATAGGGTACATGGTAGAAGGCAGCCATGAGGCACACCTGCCCTTGTCCATAGTGAGTAGGCATTATCCAACCAGTGAAATATCTACAAAGTATAATATCTTTCAACAAACACAAACCTCATTCAAAGTTCCGACTGCTCACACTAACCTTTCGAAAACACGCGTTGAATTCTAACCGACATTCCCTTACGCTACCAAACGTATCCATGAAGATACTACGCACCCTCCGATATACAGCGAAACCAGCGACGAACCCAGACTCAACATTCGCAGAAGAAATCCATGAGTCAGTTCCAAACGAGGAACGACGATGACCATCACAGGTAAAAAAAAAAGGAAGCCTACCGACTCCTAGCGGAAAATAAGTCTGACTGAAACTACCCCCGGTGGGTTATTGCACCACCACCATCCTGCGTTATAGTTTTCTTGCCAGCACACATTCAGAGCTTGAGGAGTTTTTATTTCCACACTCTCGATTCAGCTCTAGCATGGCAGCCGTGAAAATCGCATTTTCAAAGACCCTAGTTACATACCTTTGACTACTTATATTATCCAATCTACCTGATATGAATTCTCATGCCAAAATGGTATTGCCATATCTCCCCGAGGAGAAGGGTGATGCAGCGCTATCATGACGAGGTACAACTATTCCAAGCAAGCGAGCAAGGGAAAATCTTCAATTTCAACGTCAATGTCAACTTCAACTACCGCAATTTATTTCAACAGACAGCATGACATGAGCAGAAAAGCCCGAGGAAGGAGAGGAAGAATTTTTTGTCTGTTAGTGCAGCTGGGTACATTACTCTCTTAGCTGAAAGATTCAGATTAGGAAGTTGGCCAGAGACTGTGCCTGCGTGATACGTTTTGGTTCCACGGTCTGCTTGTCCTCTTCCTTATCTTTGCACTACATTTTATATACTGTACCCACCACCCCAGTCCTCACTCACACTTAAACCCCCAGCCAATCAATCAACCCAATATTACCCTCTCTCTCTCTCTCTCTCTCTCCCTCTTCAATCCCCATCCTCATACCACTCTTCATCACTACTCCTCAGCGCACAAGTTCTCAGAATGAAAAAAGAAAGAAAGAAACAGAAAACAGAGAGCCAGAAAGCAGGATTCACACATGTACTTACATGACTTGAAATTTAGCTGTATTACCACACTAAACCATACTGTACCATATCGTACTTGAATCCTTAACTACTACTACTACTACTACTACTACTACACCAGAAGATGTTTGCAAAACAAAATTATACGTGTTATCTCAGCACGGGGGCTTTTTTTTTTGTTTGTAAACGTGGAGAGAGAGAGAGAGAGACGGATTTGCAGAGTGATGAGAATGTGAATAAAGAACGAGAGATGGGGGGGGGGTGAGTAGACAACTATTCACGAAACCAAAGCAGACGACACGAGATTGATATTATTATTATTAAACATTACACATTTCCTCCACTCGTGCAGCAGGAAGAAGAGAAAAAAAAAACAGAAAGTGAGGACAGAAGACAGAGGACAGAGGACAGCGCAAACTCCACCCGCAATTCAAGATCCAAGATTCCCACCCCCCCCCCTCCTCAAAAAAAAAGAGCCTAAGATTTCACTTAGTTGATACTTCTTTCAAAAAAAACCCCCCCCCCCCGGGAAACAAGCGTATATCACGATAGACTCTAACACGCTGCAAAGATACGCTTTTATTATTGATTTGATCAATTGTAGATTTTATCGGTACAATTCATATATTCCTCCTACGTACTACTTCTTCCAATCCCACATGCACATGCACATTCACATGCACACATATATTTACACACACTCAGGGGAGGAGAATCCACACGTACCACCAATCATACTGTCATACTCAAGTTTTTTTTTTTTTTTTTTTTTTTTTTGGATATCTGCCTTCTTCTTCTGCCTTGCCTCCCCCCGTTTCTCTCTNAAACCCCCCCCCCCTCTCCAAAAAGAGGCCAGGCGGACGGACGGGCATGTAAATAACTACCTTATACAGTGTTAAACTGGGCATTTTTCCTCCCCCCCCCTTCCCCCCCCCCAATAAAAAAACCGCAATTCGCATTCCCGTGCTTAAAAATCACCAATGTTCTTACATATATGTACGCGTACGCATGGCCCTGGAAAAAAAAAGTAGGAGAGAAAGAGAAAGAAAGTAGAACAAAACGCCAACGCTATGCAAATTTGTATATGGGTGTGTGATAAAGAGAGAGAGAGAGAGAGGTCTTGCCAAAACAGCAACCAGAAACTCTAAACCACAGTAGGGTAAAGACACGAGAAGACGAGGGGAGGAAAAAAAAACCCCCCAGTTTTGAAACATGTAAAATGTTTTTTTTTTCTCTTGTTTTGTTTTGTTACTTTCGAGCTCGCTTGCTGGTGCTTATCTCGCTCCCTTGTGAGAAGACGCTTGCACTTCGCTTATGCCCTTGGCCCGAAGCGCTTTGACTTGTTGCTCGAGACTGTTGCTTGCTGCTTTCGTCCTCGCCTTCTGCGTCGACATCTGCGTCGTCGGCTTCGCCGTTGAAACCGCCTTCGTCTTCTTCGCCTTCTGCATCGTCTTCGGGATTATCTGCATCATTGCCTTCCTGGTCGTCGGCTTCGCCTTCGGCATCGTCGCCATAGTTCTTGTTGACGTCGTCTTCATCGTTTTCTCCATCCGCGTCGGCGTCGGCACCAGGCGTTTCTTGCGAGTCGCGGACCTCTTGTTTCGGTTTGTTTTCTTCGTTGCTGCCATTGCCGCCACCACCACCGCCTCCATTGTTGCCGCCATTCCGCCGTTCCTTCATGGCAAGCAGAACTTTACATTCTCCCTCCTCCTTCTCACGTACTTTTCGTACGTCAAGTAATTTGCTAACCTTGGTAACAAGAACTTCAAAGACTTCACCAACTTTGCTCGTGGGTATGCTGACAATATCGCTCACACCCAGCGCAGCAAGCATCTGGCCAATCTTTTGTGTCTGGACGTTGCTCTTGGCTTGTCGCATCTTGAGCAACTTATCCGAGCCAAACGTGACGCCCGATGTAAGCCGGTCGTGTGTTGATACATTGAACCGATGTTCTTGGTGTGGTGAAAGATGTTTGACGGGTGTTTGTGCGGGTGTTTGTTGGCTCTGTGCCATGCTTTGCCGCCGGTTCGCAGCAGATAGTTGTTGCTGTGCCGAGCCAGGGGTGTGAACCATGTCGTTGGCGGAAAGACTGAGCCGGCCAGGCCCTGTTCCTCCGCCTGCTGCGCGCTTCTTGCTGCGATCTTGTTGGAATAGTTGTTGGAAGAGGGCCTGCAATGCTTGCGACGAAGTAAATGCCTGTAATCCTGCAGAAGCTTGTGGATTTTGGGGTGGCGCATCGAGTCGCGCACGCAGTTCTTCGCGCTCGGCGTCCAGCCGGTTCGCAGCCATGTTGATGCGTTGGAGCTCGGTGAGCAGAAACTCCTCCTCCTTGACCTCGTCCATGGTGCGATTGATGAGCGCCGTAGCCAGCATCTTCCTGTTCCTTTCCATGACGGGATCGAATTTGGTGAGCATCTCGTAGAGGCTGTATTGGTCGGCATCCATGGAAACCTCGGGTATGCGCTGCTTCATGAGCTTGGCAGAGATGTCGTAGAAGCGCGCCTTGAGGTCTTCGAGCGACCGTTTTTTTGACGGCGCAAAAGGCATCGTCGCGAGCGACTGATCGCCGTCTGTGGATTCGGGCATGAATTGTCGCGATGGCACGTAGTCGTAGCGATCCCATATCACCGGCCATCGATACGAGTAGTCTCTAACCACCTCGAACAAGTAGTCTGTCTCTTCGCGACTCCAGTCGTCGCTGCGCAAGAACTGGTCGTACTCCTCGTCTGTGAAGCTCGGCATGTCCACTTTGATGTCGTATTTGGCGTAGTCGGAGCATGATTCGACGTACATGTCCGAGGCGTCGGCTGTGTCGCCCTCTTGCATGGTCGCGTCGTCGGCCTCCTGTACTGGCGGCGCAGTCGTGGGCTTCCGCCGCCAGTGCTTGAGGACAAGGCCATCGGCACGCGCGGGATTGGTAAAGGGCTGTTGTATCCTGCGCAGCGCGATTAGCTCGTCCTTTGTATGTGTGTGTGTTGCCGGGCTTGTGTCGATACATACCACTTCTTTGCCGGCCCTGTGCTCTGTCTCTTCGCCCTGTACGCCTTCTTCTCCTCGTAGACGGCGACGGGCGGCGGCCGTTCGCCATACAGCGCAGCAACCTCGCGCGCAACGCCCTCTGGTCGAATGAGAGTCAGTCTCGACCTTTTGACGATTTCCCAAGGAAAGACGTAAGAGTTGCCAAACGTACGTATCTTCCTGCTCCCTCCCGCAGGCTTTGACCGCTTCTGTGTCTGCGCCGCTAATGCTGCTGAACCTGCTGTCTTTGGCGTATCACCGCCGGCAGCAGGCAGCCCGAGCATATCGCGCACATCGCGTCCCGACGCCATCGCAACTATCGCAAGGCGCCGTCGGTGATGAGCCGGTGAAAGGAGAGGGTGCGGGTGATGGAATCGCGAGGTCCCAGGCTGAGTGGACGAGCTTAATTTCGTTGTTGGGACGTCGCGTTGGACCCTGCGGCGGGTACCCTCACGTGTGAGAAATCAGTATTGAGCGGGAAAATCGGGATGGACGGGCGACAAGGACCATAAAGAGCGCGCGCACTTGTTATTATTCAAAAAAAGTGGGAAAAAAAATTGCCCGGCAAAAAAGCGCGTCAAAGTTGCCGTCCGGAATTCTTTGCTGCGCTACAGCCTGGTACAGCTATGGGGGTCATGGATTGCCGCTGTTAAGGCACCTTCCAATCATTAAAGGCAAAGAGGCCATAGCTCCAGACCATCTGATCACGACCCCTCTTAGCTCACTTCAGAGCCGTATCAAGATGCCGTCGCGACCACGGGCTGCTCCAGTCCAGCAGCCAGGCCGCACCACAAGGCCATGCGTTGGTGTAGGTGAGTTGGTCTATTTGCTTCTCAACTACTCTACCTGAACTAAAGCGCGACCCCGTCTTCGTCTCTCCCGCCTCCCCCCCCTTCGCCCTCCTGTCTCTGACTTGCTCTCGCGTCCTGCAGGACAGAGCGCAGTACTGCCGTAAGACTTGAAAAGAGACTCCTTTACATGCTATATTTTCCTCGTACCAAAAAAAAGAAAAAAAAATGGATAATGAAATGTGAGATGGCGCAAGTGCAAGTCCTCGCCAAGCACACCGCAACGCCGCAAGCGCCCAATGGAAAGCACTCCCACACGCAGTGCCAGGTGGCGTGGTCTTGCAACACGGGAGCGCGAACGTAAAGACAGAAAGGATGGTAGTGATGTTTTTTTCGGCGCTGATGAGGGATCCGGGCTGCTGTGGAAGGCGGTTCGGTCGATCGGTCGTCGTAAAGTATTACCGTGGAAGGAGATTTTCGATCCCGTCTATCAATCATTACAAGAATACCTATACAGGAAGAAAACGTGACCGAGGGAATACTATCGCTCAATGAACGGACTCCAGGATGCAACGCAAAGAGAATAAAACCAAGCTTGGGTGGCGGCAATCACTACTTGTTGCTGGCGCCGCAGCAGAGCGCGCTGGCCAGTTTTTGCATGAAGCTGGGCTTTTCGGGTGTCTGCTGTCTGGGTTGTTGAGGAGTTGGACTGCTGGCGGGAGCAGCGCGGTTCTGTGACAGATTGGGCTGGCTGTGCTGAAACTGCGCTTGTGTCGATGCGCCCTCAGGGGGCGCCAGCTCACCCATGCTCTTTCTCTTAATCTGCGAATCACGGTTCATGTTCTCTCTTGGGCTTCTTCCGGGTTGTGCGCGCGTCGCCCCGGGCTTGGGCAGAGGCTCGTTTAAGCGGTGATGGTCGATGGGAAGGTGCGTCTTCTGTTGCCTGTGCTGCTGGCCCTGGTGGTTGACCGCCATGGACGAGTTTGGGTTGACGTTTGAGTGATGCATCGCCTGCGCAGCCGACGGGTGCGACTTCATCACCTCCCAGCCCTTGCCGTTGTTCAGCTTCATCCAGTCGTACTCGCCATCCTCGACCTCTCCGGTGCTCTTGAGGGCCTGGGTGAAGAGCTCCCGCAGGTAGTCGTAGTCAGGCGTGTCCTCGAAGCCCAGGTTACGGACGTAGCTGAGGTACTTGTTGAACTCCTCTGCGTGTTTGTTAGTGCGAGAATGGGCGTACAAGGGCGGCAGACAACGTACCAGGGAAGCCATCGCAGAGATCCTTGATGGGAGTCGTCTGCTTCTTCTCTCCAATCTTCTCGTACTTTTGCTTGTTGGTCGCCGCCTTGAGGCCTTGCCATGGCAGGCCGCCTCGGAGGAAGTACATGAAGACGTGGCCAAGCGCCTCCAGGTCATCGCGACGCGATTGCTCACGCCCAAGATGCGTGTTGATACTCATGTAACGAGCAGTGCCGGACAGCGACTTGCGCTCCCTGTAGGGGATGTGCTGCTTGGTCTTGGGGTCACGGTATTGCTTGGCCATACCAAAGTCGACCACGTGGATCACATTGGCGCTCTTGGTGCCGGGGCGACCAATGAGAAAGTTGTCGGGCTTGATGTCACGGTAGATGAGGTTCTTCTCGTGGATGGTCTGGACGCGCGAGAGCTGGGATGTGTAAGCAGATGACAGCAGGCGTTGACGGGCGCAGGGCATACCATCTGCTTGGCTACCATGACAACCGTCTTGATGGAGAACTTCCGGTTGCAGTGGTCGAACAGGTCCTCCAGACTGGGACCGAGGAGGTCGATGACCAGGATGTTGTGGAGGCCCTCCTGGCCAAAGTAATAGACATTAGGGATCCCGGCTGCACAAGGGTCAGCGATATTCTTGCCATGCACAACATGTGAATTGCGTGGTATAAGTCGTGTGCGTGTGCACAATGCACGCCGGCAGCGGTAGCCAACAGCACGTTGGCCGAGGCGATGGCGACGGCAGCACGTGACGACACGATGCGGCTGGCATTGCATTGATGGGGCAGTCGGGCCTAGTCAGGTATCATGCGTGTTTGCATCTGCCTGGAGACAGGGCTGTGCCGAGGCAAGGTTGCGAAACAACAGCAGGGCGGTAAAGGGGCGTGCGTGTGAAGGGAAGGAGTGAAGGGAGGAAGAAAGAAAGAAAGAAGGAAGGAAAAGTGGTACTCACGGCAGCCGACGAGGATCTTGTAGGTGCGGTATTCATCGCGCAGCTGGGGAGCGTCGCTCTTGCGCGGCTCAAACTTGATGGCCACCTGCTGCTGGTTGAGCAGGTTGGTGCCCTCAAAGATGACGCCGAAACTGCCCTCGCCAATCTTCTTGCCGACGCGGTAGTGCACGCCGACGACGTTTGAGCTGGTGCTACCGCTGGCCATGATGCCGGTGTGTCGTGGTGACGGGGCGGTGGTGGTGTTGATGGATGAGGAGACAGGAGGCAGGAGGCGAGGCCGCGGAGGGGATTGCGGAGCGGAGCGAGGCGTGCGAGATGGTGGTGGTGGTGGTGGTGGAGGAGGAGGAGGAGGAGGTGGTGCCGGCAGCGAGGCAGGGCCGCAGCCGTTGTCCGGGAGTGAGGCTTGGGGCTATGCAGCCAACGGACGCGACTCGGCGTCCTCACGAAGGGGGGAGGGCGGTTGGGAGAGGCTGCTGGGGGGAGGCGAGGGGGGGAGCGTGTCGGTCTCGTCGAGCGGGCTTCGAGGCGAGAGCGACTGTGCTGCCAGACAGCCAGACAGCAGCGTGCGAGGCTTGGGAGAGGACGCTGAGAAGAATGGGCGTGGGACGGGGGTGGGCAGTGAAGAAGAGCGGCCGACTCGAGGTGGAAAAGACGCGGAGAAGGGGCTGCTGGCCGGGCGCGGGCCCGTGCGCGGCACAGGCTGGCACAGGTGGGCACCGGTTAGGCCAGTTAGGCCAGTGGGCGCAGTTAGCCTGCGTCCGGGCTGGCACTGGCACTGGCTCGCGGGGCCAAGGCGCATTTCACTGGAGAAGCACGGGACCGCGACCGCCTGAGGAGCGCAACGAGCCATTTCCACGCGCCTGCATACGACGGAGCCGGCCACTGTTCATGCTGCCTCTGCCTACGACTCGCCGCCGCCGCGCCCCCCTCTTCGCTTCCGCCATGCACCCCCTCGCCGTCGCCGCCGCCCAAGCCCAAGCCCAAGCCCGCCTGCACCAGCCCGCCAGATACAGGCCCAGCCAGCCAGGTCCCCCAGCTGTTCGCAGCCAGCACCGGCACCACCACCAGCACCAGCACCACCAGCGCCCACGGCCGTACGGCGTCCCGCGGTACGCTGCAACACGGCGCGGGCGTGTCATGGCCCACCCCGACGCCTGTCATGTGCTGCCTGTACCTGCAGAAAAGCCGGCCACGCCCAAACCAGCCATGCTCCGAGAGCACGGCAGCAAAAAAGAAACAAAAGTAATAAATACATGGCTGCCCCGGGGCTGCGCTGCTTGTCGGCGCGGAAATTCGTGCCTCGCCCGCCTGCCTCGACACAGACGCGCGCGCGCCCAAGGGGAAACACGCCCGACCAAAACAAAAAGGCACGTCGAGTCGAGTCGAGTCGGTCGCAGTCGCAGTCGCAGTCGTGCCCGTCTTCACGGCGCGCCCATGACGAGCCGATTATCCACCCGCCGCCGGTGATCTTCTACTTGTACTATACTGCCGTCGACCCCAGGTGCGTCAGCCTCACACACCGCCGCACCAAGCACGCACGCACTGCCCATGTGTGCATCCTCGCATCCTCGCATCCTCGCATCCTCGCATCCTCGCATCCTCTCGCCCGCCGCCCACGCATGCGCCTGTGTCGCCGCTCGCGAGCGCCACGCCTGCTGCACGACGGACGCCTCCCGGCTGCTGAGATTGTCTGGTGTTTCTCGATGACTAGCAGCGCGCTGCCACTGCCCACCCCCCAACAGCGTCGTCTCGCGCATCCCTGCGCGCATGCATCCAACGGCCAAGGCTCGCGCGCTCTGATTGGGCGCGCTTCCACTTCCGCGGCCTGCTGCTCGTGCTCGCGCCACATTCCGCCCTTGCCAAGCATGCGCCCCACCGGGCACTGGCTTGAGCCCGCCGAACACAGTCGAGACCCTTGCCGACATGCGCTTGTGCAGCCCGCTATTCACCTATGCTCGCGCCTGTTGCATGCATTACCCAAATGGTCAAATCTTATACACTCGCCCCTCCTAAGTATTCATCCCTACCCCCCGGCCGTCGTGTCATGGCCCTGATAACGCCGGTACACCGAGCCCTATCCGCTACAAATACAGCTAGAAACTAACATGAAAGAAACAATAACAAACTAGCCTAATCTGCCCCCGTCGCCAGCTACACATGCCAAAACGCCCTGTCAGATGCTTGCCTGCCTGCCTGTCTGTCTGCTTGCTGCTTGCTGCTTGCTGGCTTGCTTGATCCCACGCGCGCCCGATGAACATCCGAATACGAAATCAATAGTGGTTGGCCACACCTCCTCATGAGCCTAGCATCTCGACATCCCGCTCCTCCAACACGGCGCTCTCGTCGTCTCCGTCAAACCCCTCGGCGCCAGCGCCCTCCTGCTCTGCCTCTGCCTCGCCGTCTGCCAGCGCTCCGTTACTGCCCAGCTGCGCTGCCGGAGACACGGCTTGCGCTTTGCCCTCCAATGCCATCTCCTCGTCGTACATGGCCTTGCCCGCTTTCCACGCTGCCTTGAACCAGTCGCTGAGCCGGTTCTTATCCAGGTGCTCCTGCAGAATATCATCATCCAGCAGGTTGTCCCGGATAATAGGCTCGCGGAGATCCTCGGCAGCAAACCGCACGCAAAGCTCGCCGTGCGTACCCCCAGCGCCTACTAGGTCCCGGAGGCTCTTGGGCCATACGATTCTGGCCAGTGTGTTCTCAGCTGCGGCAGTGTTAGTGGCTGGGCATCCCATACTCAGACATGTCAACTTACAGCACATCCTGAACAGCGCCCGGAACGTCCATGATACGGCAGTATCCTGCAGCACATCATTGATCGTCGCATCCGTAATGTCCCTTGTCTTGTTGATCGTTGCCCAGTCGTCTTTGATAGCCAGCCGTTTCCATACAAGCTTCAGTAGCCCTTCGCGTGTTGTGCGGTGAATGTTATGCCAGCTCACAACGAGAACTCTCAAGGCATACGTGAACTCGTCCCCGCCTAGCAGCGTAGTGCCATTCTCGCTGTCATGCGCGTTCATCAACGTAAGAATGTCAATCATGAGTGCCGGATCAATGACCTTGTGCTGGACGATGCTCTCAAAGCCCTCCCGGAGGATCGCTTGGTGTGCTGATCGATCCTTGAGACGGCCTTGCCCAAACTCGTTCATCAAGAGCTCCACGGCAGAGTCCGCATCCAGAGCACCTGTAATTACCGGCAGCAATCGCTCGTACACCTCCTCTTGAATCTTGGTGTACTCTAGTTGCTGCTCGATGCTCTGCGACATGGCTTCGCGCACCTTCAGCGCCTTTGGCTTCTCTCGGCGTGCATCAACCACTGCTTGTTGGTCGTCGTCCTGCTTCACCTCCTTCTTGCAGAGTAGGGCGAGCTTGGCCATGGACAACTCCACACGCTGGCACCACGAGTTGGTCTCCTGCTTCGACCCAGCCTCGAACAGAGCCTCGGCCGCGGCTTCATAGTCGTGCTCGCCGCACACTTCGTTGATCCACGCAAGCCGCACTCGCGAAGGCTCAGACCGCAAGAACTTGGTAAGCGCTGGTTGGTTGAGGTAGTCCTTCATGAACAGCTGCGCCGCTTGGTTCTCGCTGATGTATTTGTTGTAGAATGCTCCAGCCCATTCGTCGCCGTACAGGTCAAAGTACCGAGAAATGCGCTCTTTTATCCGGTTGAGCTTGACCGTGCTTTCTGCCTGCTCCATCTTGCTGCGCGTGTTTGCCTTTTCCGATTCGAGCCAGTTCGACTCCTCCCAGATGAGGTTCACAAGTGTAGGCATGTCCCGGTACTGCTCAGCAAGCTTCATTCCCTCTGTTGCGAGCCCAATCTCCATTAGGCCCATAATGTGCGCTGGCCGGACATTGTTGTTCCATTCGTCTTTCAGGCTACGGCCCATGGCCCGTGTCTTTTCGTCACTCTGCGCGAGAGCCCATTGGAAGCGTTCGATATGCGTCTGGCAGCCCAACTTGACTAGACGTGGGTTGTCTTTGCCAATTTTTTGCGCAAGAATCTCCTGGTAACCTTCTTCGTAGTTCTCCACGGCAAGATTACGGCCGACATCGATAAGACTGCGAATCGAGCTGACGATATTGTGCGACGACGTCCAGAATTGGGGGAGCATATCGTAGCCCTCTTCGGGGTTGAGAATGCCGTCACGGAGACAGTCTGGGTCGAGTCCGTACAATTCAACATTGGCTTGCCGGAACTCAAATGCAGTCTCCAAAGCGACAAGCATAACATCAGTACCCTCGCTAAGCCTTTGCATGATCGATGGCTGCTCCTTTGCGCCCTCTTTCATATAGAAGGTTCGCAGATAGAACCAACCCCAAGGAATCAGAACGTGGAGAGAGTCGACGTCCTTGAGGAAAAACTGTCGGATGGTATCAGTCTCGCCAAGCTCTGGATTGATAGCCGTCTTGTAGCGCTCATTTAGAGCCCTGACGATATCGCCCATCAGGATTTTCTCGGGATATGCGTCTGGATGAGCCTGCTGATCCTGCAGTTTGTCCTGGTACCAGTTCCACAGCCTGTGCGCAGCGGCTAGCTTTTCGGCATGCCACAGCAGCTGCCATTTTTTGTCAAAAGACAAGGGCGGATACTGGGTTTGTAGTTGAGAGATCAGGGTTTGGAGAGCCGTGGTGCGTTGCTGGAATTGTTCGTCCATGTTCGAAATCGTCTTTTCGAGATAGTCGTAGGATGAGCTCAAAATACCAGCGCTGATGGCAAGGGCTGCTTCTGCAGTCTCCTCTTCCGAGAAGGAGAAGCGAGACTTGACTGAAAAATCAATAATGTTACCAGGAATGGTGCTGAAGAATGTTGCCTGCTCCAGCTTGCTCTGCGCCGTGACCTTTATGCGCTCCCGACTCTGCTCGTCCGTTGGTGACGACGTGCTAATCTGCACCAGTCCAAACTGCTGCACAAAGATAAGTGCGGCCGCCCGCCTGTCTTTCCGTAGTCCTATTTCAAGGGCATGGCCAGAGATGGTTACATCTGAACGGAAGTACACGGTGTCCTGGAAAGGCACGCTCAGTCGTCCACTATCTGCAAGAAGCTGTGCTTCAGGGCTGTCTTCCGGTTGAACAAGGGACGCGACACACACTGCGCCTGGGAACTGCACATATGCGGTGTGTCCGGGTTGCGGGAGTAAAAGCGTTCCGGTGGGCTCCTTTGGCAGCTGGGGTTGTTGGAAATCGCGAAGTGGAATCACCTTTTGGACTGCGCCTCCGGCTGCTGAGAGTTCCAGTTCGACGAGGAAGTAGTCCAGCGAGTCGCGGCCGGACAGGGCCACCAAAACTAGCAGTTCAATAGTGTCCTGGCTCTGTTGCTGCTCTGTAATGGCAAAATCCAACACATGCACATCCTGCTGGCTGCGTATCTCCGGTACTGTGTCTACTTGGAGTGTCGACAATACCGCATCGTGTACATCTATATCCCGTTGATGCGTGTGTTGTCCTGACCAGCTCAAGTCCCAAAGTTGGAAGAGTCCGTTCTTTGTTGCTGAGACCACGTCCATGTGACCCTTTGACTGCGACGTGCGCGCCTTGACCGAAGCAATAGTCTTGCGAACCGATCCTCCGAGGAGACCCTTGAGGCTGAAAAAGCTGCTTCCCGAACTGTTGGGTGCGCTTAAAACTGTGGTTGTCACGTTCGGCCTGCCTTGTGAGTCGCGCAAGGTGAGTTGGGCTAGCCTGCCGCTGCTGAAGACAAGGACATGGCCCGCGTGCTCGACATCGACCAGATCGGTTATGGTTTCGCCAGAGTATAGTTTAACAAAGCCCTCCACCCCTTGTTGGCGCTGAGGATAGAGACTTCGGGTGTCGGCGCTGTCGATATTCTCCCAGAAGCAGATCTTGCCTGTCGAAGGCGCCAGTGCGACGACGCCAAAGTCGTTTGTGGGCCCGTTGCGAACGATGGCACCTAGTGGCAGCGGCTCGGATGGCCTCAGACCGAATCCCAGGTTCAGGGATAGAACCTTGGTAGGGCCGTTGGGGGTGTTGTAGTCCCAGACGAGGGCTCTATCAGACGTCAGGGCGAGCGCAAGACCGGCGGATGGGAGGGCGGTCGCATATATCGGGGCTGGTGCTGTCAGTTAGCAAGCGCGCATCGGGTCGGGTAAGGCTACGGCATACTGGATGGGCGGAGAAGCGCTGACGGAAAGCCGGGGAGTTTCTTGACGCTGTAGTTCACGTTTTTTGTCTGGAGTGTATTCCGTTAGCGGCAGTCGACGTGCGAGCAAGCGCAGACACTCACAAGATATGAGCCAGTCTCTTCCTTGGGCGCGCGCTGCTTAGGCGCCGTCTTCTTTTCGCGGACAGGCATGTCGACCAGCACAACCGAGTTTTCCACGCTCTGAACCGCATGGCCGTTCATCAGGGCGCTTCCGTTGCCATTGATATGCGCGTCGGTTGGGTCCTTGAACGTGTCGTCGTTGAGCTTACTGCGCTTCCGGCTTCGCTGTTGCTGGGGGCCGTCCGAGTCCTTGCGCTGGCGCCGTCGGGGATTGCGCAGAGAGCTGCGCGCACTCTGGATGGAAGCCTCTGGTGAAAACATGATGGGCGGTGGGTTGGTAGGTGGGTTGGGACGCGAAAGAGCGCGCCGGTGATGGTGTTGGCTCTTCGCTGCGTCGTTGGTGATTGACAACGAAGAAAGCGTCTGTTTTGGAAGCTTTGGTGACAGGGATCCGATTGACGCTAGAGCACGGAGTTAACCAACGTGGTCGAACGTGTCGCACTGGCCATGCTTTGCAACCACCATGTAATAGCAAGCACTTGCTTTTACATGTGCCATTTTGCCAGTGAAACAGCCCTCTCCATATGTGTAGGTGGGCCGCACAGACGGGGGATCCGGCTGCCGCGTCGCTACGTCTCAGCCCGGCAGCCCAGCCATGTCTCTGGACGGACAATGAAAAGCAGGCACATGTGTCAGAGACTTTGCAGTAACGCGGTCACGCTGGGCAGCAAACGTCGGTGGTTGTAGATTCGTATCTCATTGATCATATGCATTACAATTTATGTCAAGTACAGCGAGCGTGCAAGGCTTTCCGCCGCAGCTGTCGAGACGGGAAATAAAGAAAGGTCCCACATTTGTACAAATACTGTGTTCAAAGCGCCTCTGCAGTTGTCAGGGCTTTGGCCTCCCACGACTCAACTAGCCAGTCAAGCCGCAGCCATGCCCCTACTGCCCGTACGTGTCGTCGGCGGTGGCCATACCTAGAGCTTCTTGCCGTGGTCCTCCTCAGCAACGCTGTGTTCGGCAGAAGTGGTGCTCTGCTTCTCGAGCTCCTCGCCCATCGGGCCGTGGATCGATTCTTCAAAGACAGGCTCAGTCTCGATGGTTTCGAACTTGGTCTTGAAGTCCTTCATGTTGTGCGTTGACGAGTTGCTTCGACGACGGGCATAGGCCATGTTGGGCCTGATGTCCTCGATTTCGTCGCCTGCGGCACCCCTGCATCTGCTGTCAGACCATGTGATCCAAGGGCAAAGGGGGACATGTAGTGAAGGGCGTGCGGTGCTGCAACAGAGCCATCGCACCGCTCAAACAGGTGGTTGTGGATGAACGAAGCATGCAAGACTTACCAATTGCCCTTGCCGCTGCCGCCCTTCTTCGTCTTGGTTGGGTCCGTGTCGGCATGGCCGGATTTGCCAAAGTACTTGGGGAGTCTGGATTCACGCTCGGCAGTGCCATCGGCAATGCCGGCATGGTCACGGTCAGTGTACTTGTGGGAGCGAGTCACTGCACTCAATTATCAGCGTCTGGCATGCAATCGAAGTGGCGGTGGTCGTGGAGGCGTCCATGCAGCATTGAGCAGCCATAAGTGACGTTATAGGCGCGCCAAGGGGACGCCAGCACGGCGGACAGCGACAGCAAGGGGACACACTTACTTGTTGATGAGTGGCTGATTGAGCAAAGGTTGGAGGTGATGGAAGCAGGCAGTGTGGGATGGTGTCGAGTTGAAGTAGTCAGGAACGGAGCGCGGGGTTTCTTCAAGCGTGCTTCAACGAACTCTGAGGCGGCGGGTCAGTACATGGTCTCGTGATGGGGGGGAGCTTTGGCCCATGGCGCCATTTTGCGTCAAGCAGCAGAAGTGATACGCGTACCTTGCAGATCTGGCTGGCGGGTCGAGTCGCCGGTGAGCACGAGGCAGGTGAGTGGAGGAGTGGCAGAAGAAGCGAGCAAGTGCGTGAGGGTGAGTGGGAGTGAGAGCGTGAGGGTGAGTGCAGGAGCGTTGATCTGATCGCAATGGCCCAAAGCGGGGAAGCTGTCAGAAGCTCCGCTGCAGCTGGTCTCTTTGCTTTATACCGCGCCCATGAGATGAACCGGACGACGCCATTGTCTAGAAGATTCGCCTCCGGGGCCCAGTGCTGGCCATTGCAACATTGAGCCAGCTGCTAGCATGCTGCAGCCATTTAGTTTTGCTATTGATCGGATCTTCGGTCCCTTGGCTGCGATATTACTTTGTGAGAACGGAACGAGGGGGGGGGGAGGGGGTGCGGGTACGTCACCGGTACCTGGCGCGCTGGATGCGGGTCGCGTGCCCCGAACAACAGCTGAGACGCATGCCCTAGACGCCCATGGTTTGGACCTGGTATCCGACTGCAATTGCCCATCTCGCCACCTCCCAGTGCGTGCAAAAGACGCTCTGCCGCTGCGCATTCTGCTGCCTCATGGCTGCTTCACGGCCTCAGCGACCTGCGTTGCTTACCCCGGATTCTAGACATCCCCCCTAAACGCTAATGCACGGGCCCCACTCACACCAGCCAAGGTCATGCGCACACCACCTTCTCGACAGAAGGCGAACAGCGCTACCCGACCGCAGTTAGAGCGGCTTTTGCTACTCCGAGCATCCAACCTTGGAGGCGTAGCAGGAGCAAGAGAGGCGGGCAGCATAGCCGCAAGAGCAAGGGTAATGTCTAGTGCTCTGCCGCTCCTTGCACGCGCTCTGCTGCCGGGGTTGGCGAGTGATGGAAGCGGAAGGTTTACCAGAAAGGCCCAAGGTGATGCGCCCACCAGCCCACTTCTGAGTCACGTGGGCGCCCTCGGATCACGTGTTCATCACCTCGCTCGCGGCCGCAATCGTATGACCAATCGCCGCGGAATTGTTGCTTGCATCAGCAACTGCGCTTTCGCCGCTTCCGAAACCGCAGGCCAATGACTACTATCTCTGTCTAGAAAAGTTTCCCGGGCGCGCCTCTGAGCCTCTACTTCGCCTTTCTCCCGCAAACTTCTCTGCTTCATACTCGCCCCGAAGCAACGGATTGATTTTGCGTGATTCCGCTACCCCTCCATCGACAAACGACTGT